AAAGCTGATTTAATTTCGATAGAGGAAAACTGTCTATATATTGTGCTTTAGCAAAGCCCAAATTCATTTCTGCAACGAAATACATTTCTAAAAGCTGAATTAACTTCGCTAGAGTATAATTCTCTACATACTCAGCTTCCGGCAAGCTACAGATTTGACAAAATTATAAAAACATACCATATATTTTTAAAACGGAATTAATTGCTAAAAGCTGATTTAATTTCGATAGAGGAAAACTGTCTATATATTGTGCTTTAGCAAAGCCCAAATTCATTTCTGCAACGAAATAAATTTCTAAAAGCTGAATTAACTTCGCTAGAGTATAATTCTGTACATACTCAGCTTCCGGCAAGCTACAGATTTGACAAAATTATAAAAAAATACCATATATTTTTAAAACGGAATTAATTGCTAAAAGCTGATTTAATTTCGATAGAGGAAAACTGTCTATATATTGTGCTTTAGCAAAGCCCAAATTCACTTCTACAACGAAATTAATTTCTAAACACTGAATTAAACTCGATAGGGAAAATTATCAACATATTCAGATTCCGGAAAAAATGGCATAACGACTGTGTTTAACGCGATCCTTTCAGGACTAATTTGTTGGGCTAATGAAAAATTCTCTGCTTACGACTAATGTATCGAGCTTTGGGAAAGCTCCGTGACGCGATCTGCGGGGACCGTTCGTAATAAATACGCGGTCGCCAACGTTTCGAAATCTGTCATAACGAAGACACATTCCCCCGACGTTTCGGGAACATTAAACGAGCCGGAGACCGCCGATAAACAATGGAAGGCGGGCGCGTCTGCGGGACCATTTTTCAGGATTTTCCCTAACGGTCTTCCGCGAGTTTATTTTTCCCTTTTGCGAGTGCGATAAGTCGAATCCGTATACGTCCCGGGCGGAATAGAAAATTAATCCGGACCCGACGCTATTTTTTTTTATTTTCGTACCTCTCGTTTCCTTTTTCATTCTTTTTTTACGAAAAACGGTGAAAATGTTAAATTAATAATAATAGAAATAAAGAATACTATAATTAATTTTAAATTTTATTGACATTTTTGCTTTATTTTATGTCAAAAAAAGTCCGAAAATAAACGAATCCGTTTTATGTTATTACTTTTTTGCACTTTTGCAAAAATTGAAAAAAAAAGAATTAATTTTGTCGGATTTCCTCTTTTGCGTTTTGCTATATCTTGTATAAAAAACAATGGAAAAAATTACATAAACCTTTTTTGCATTTTTGCTTAATTTTGTTTCAAAATTAGTGGAAAAAAATAACGCATATCAACATTTAAGTTGCAATAAATAATTCAATTTATGACACTAAACGCACGGCAATAATCGTGACGTCATACCGCTGCTTTTCGATCCATACAGCGACATGTTATACTCTGGTTATAGGCCGAGAATTATATTATTTACGTTTATTTTTGGCTCGTGTAAAGGTGTGTTTGTATTTGATCTACGCCAGTTTGTATTGATGCGTAGTGCGCTTTACGTGTTAATAACAGAAACAACATAAAACCAATATGACAAATCATACCATCGTGTTTGAGTACAACCCGAAAGACGCCAGATAAACTGTAGATTCGTCTACCAGAAAATAAAAGCCGTTGTTTTATGTTCAGGCGTCACTTAAGCCTTAATCGTGCAAACATTTTTAACTCTTTGAATGTGCACCCATCCTATTGCGGTCTCTATAGGAGTGGCTTCCTGATCCATATAAAATAAAGAACACTTTAAGTTATCAATGCCAATATACTTTAAAATCAGTATTTACGTTTCCAATAGTTAAAAAAAGTCCTTTTTGTTTTTATGTTGAATAATTTACATTTTATTTGATATACCATTTGAATTTTAAAATCTCGAAAATTTTAGGCTGATTACATTATTATATTAATGTAAAACTAGCAGATAAGAAAAGCAAGCGACATTATCAAGACTAAAATTAAAATGGTACTGTCCGGCCTAATCTTACAAGCGAATTGACGTCACAACCGGTCACAGCCAATGACAGCGCGTTTCAAAGAGGATTTAAATTTTACAATTTTTAATTGCTTATGTTTGATACATAGAACGACGAAATTATTTTTTTGCTGTGTTTTAATAGTATAAACGAACTTTTACAAGCAATATTTTTCAAATTAAAATTTTGTTTAAGTTCCCTCTTGCTCGCAAACTCGTTTATATTTAGGCATTTGTAGTAATTTATGTACAATTTACTTTTTGCGTTTTTGCTATATCGAGTGCTGAATTATGTGGAAAAAATAATGGTAAATATCGAGTTCCAATTTTTAATACACTTTTTGGATTTTCGCATTATTTTGTTTCAAAACAGTCGACAGACTCGCAAAATTAACTAAAATAATTTTATATTATTTTTAATTTCAATTGGGCTGCGAATTTAGAAGCTAAAATTTGTTACCTTCTTTTTAGATTGCGCGTACGCCACTGCCGCGCGAAAATAAAGCGGAGTTTGTCGATGCGTCGCATCTTTCTACGCGATGGTTGTCGCACAAATATTTTCCAGTTTACTTTTTATGGTCCATGACGTTCGGACGACATTGCGCGTTTATCATATTAGCCGGATTCGCGGTTGATGAAAATGAATGTTGTGGCGTACGCGACGGTCCAATTGTCTTATACCAAATACACGAGAAATTTCTTTTTGTTTTTAGTTTGTACGGAAAGCATATAAATTTTCTTTCTTTTTCCCTCGATAATGCGTAGTTTTAGATAGATTACATGTCTGACAGTCCTATGGCAGAGATTCACTTATTTATTTTAACGTCCTTGACATTAAAAATACGCGTGCCGCTGATGTTTCTTAAAATAAAAATTATTCTTGCCCGATTTCGCGAGTTTTGAAGTTAGAATTATTTTCCTTAAGGTATTTTTGGGTATTTTCTGATAGGTCAAAATCCGTTACACACTTTACAAATTTGAAATTAAATTGAGATCAATTATTTAAATTAAAACTTTTTAAAATTACGAAAAATTTTGTGTCCTACAAACTACAGCATACTAAAAATCAACAAACTGTAAAATAAACAGGCGTAAAGCAGAACACAAAATATAGACCGCAGCCACAATAGCAATAGCCACGTGCTGTCCCATTTTGAAATTACGCGCACTCTAAAATCGGATTTTGAGTAGCGGCAGTAGCTTCTGAGTAATACGAGGAATTTTTTTAAATGTACGTCAACTTTTTGCGTAGAATTCAGTGTTGTTCTGCAAGTATACGGAGTCAGGTTAAAAAGTTATCGGACCCTTTTTTTTTAAATTCGTCACAGTAATACGTAGTAAATATTTTTCAAATATGTAAAAACTGACACAAGTCTGATTTTAAAGTTGTTCTTGGTCTGCGATTTGTCAGCCTATCTTGTTTTAGATTTAATAAAATAGGTTGAACAAGAAATTAAATTTTTGAAATTTTTTAAAATTAAATTTACATAAAAATGGCAGAAAACAAGTTAGAATATTAAATATAATCTAGAATTAGCTACAATGTGTATTTTATATTTTGTAATTGCTGAAATAAACAAATTTTACATCATACCTCTAACTATTATTCTTGTCTTCCCATTAATTTAGTTAAATAAAATTAGTTCCCACTCTCTGCACAAACCTCACACATCCAATCAAAACCAATAAATTTGAAGGTTTCAGAACTTGTGGGACACTTTCCCGATGACTTCGAAATTTAATACACTTCTTCCAGGTAGAGAATTTTTAAGTACTTCTACGAGGGCATCGCCAAAATTTCCCGGCCTAAATATGAACTTCTTCGTCGTTAAACCGCACTCCACGTAAGTCCTTTTTCAAATATCCAAACAAATAATAGTCGCTGGGGGCCATATCTGGACTATAGGGAGTATGATCTATCTGTTGGAACCCACACTCTAAAATGGCAGCTTGTGCAACACCACCAGTATGGACAGGTGCATTATTGTGCAAAAGACGCACGCCTCTGGTCAGTTTTAGTCGACGCTTTACACGTATGCAGTCTCGGAATTTATGTAATAATGTTGCGTAATATTTACCATTGACAGTGGTATTAGTTTCTTTAAAATCTATCAAAAGAATTCCTTCACAATCCCAAAAGATCGTGGCCATCACCTTTTTTGTTGACTGGTAGACTCTGAATTTTCTTGGAGGTGCTTCACCCTTACGACGCCACTCCATTGATTCTTTTTTCGATAGAGAACTATAGTTTCATCTCCCGTCACAATAGTTTCTATCACAGGCGTTCCGACCCAAAGAGTTCCAAAAAAGACCGCGCGCACTCGACACGGCGTTGTTTTTGAATAGCCGAAAGGTTTTTAGGAACCCATCTTGCACTAACCTGATGCATACCTAAATGATCATGCAGGATTCGTAATTTCTGAGATTTCCTTGACCTTTAAAAGTCAATCACTCAATACCACCTCTTCCACAATCGCAACAATGTCTTCCGTTATGACCTCCACTGGTCGACCAGTTCTTGAACCATCTTCAAGGGACTTCTGCCCCATTTTTTCGGACACGTCTTGTTTAAAATGCTATCAATAAAAAACTATTTGACACAAGTTTTATTTTTTTTTTCGTAGCCTACTAAGATATATATTTAAAAGAAGACAAAGTTTTATCGGAGCTGCATCTATGTCAGGCGGGAAAATTTTGGCGCTAACCTCGTACACTCTGAGCGCCAATTCGCTAATGCGCATGCGTTAGCATTCCTGATGTGTCGGTAATTAAATAATTAGAACAAATATCATGCTTCCGTCTAAGAAGACGCCACAGAAAGGGAGAGACTAAAGTGAGGTTAGAAATCACCATTAGGGTTACGTGTGAGGAAAAATCCGGTCCATTATTATTTTTTAAACTCTCTTAATATTAAACGAATAAACATTTCTTTGCGGTCGTGCGCTGTTAATTTGACCTTCCAGCAATTTCCGATAAGATAACCGACCTACTGTTTGCTATAAAACCGATTGTTGCGTATTTTTTTCAGAGACGCGACTATAAAATGCCCGACGAACTGCCGGAAACCCATCCGGAACACCCGCGGAGGTTAATCCCGGAACTCTGCAGGCAGTTCTACGACCTGGGCTGGGTCACAGGGACAGGTACGCCAGTGCCGCGCGCACACACTTTTTGTTTAAGTTTAAAGAACGATTTTAGGTGGAGGAATAAGCATTAAAAACGGCGAAAAGATCTATATCGCACCGTCCGGCGTCCAGAAAGAGAGACTCCAACCGGACGACATGTTCGTCCAGAATATCAACGGCGTCGACTTGGAACTGCCGCCGCCCGAGAAGAAATTGAAAAAGAGCCAGTGCACGCCACTGTTTATGTGCGCGTATACCCGCAGGAGTGCCGGAGCCGTCATTCACACGCATTCTAAGGCCGCCCTGATCGCCACCATGATCTTCCCCGGCAAAGAGTTCAAGTGCACGCATTTGGAGATGATCAAGGGGATCAAGAATCAAAAGCTGGGGCGGAATTTCCGCTACGACGAAGAGTTGGTGGTGCCCATCATCGAAAACACGCCCTTCGAAGAAGATCTCACGGAACGCTTGGAAGAAGCCATCAGGGAGTATCCGCATACGTGTGCCGTGCTCGTTAGAAGACACGGGGTAGTTTTGAGCGTAACGAGATGCGTTTATTTCTTAACGTGTTCCCGATTTTGCAGGTTTACGTGTGGGGCGATACGTGGCAACAGGCGAAAACAATGACTGAATGTTACGATTACCTGTTCGACGTCGTCGCTCAGCTGAAACAGCGGGGAATCGAACCGTCGTGGACTCCGGAACAGTATGAACTATGCCAAAAAAGAAACGGCAACCAATAAGATATCATTTAACCTACCCCTCTTGTTATTAAGACGAAATAAAGAAATTTGTTTATATATGAACTAATTGTAGGTTATTGTGAAACGAAGGGATTTGATTTTCCGCTTACCTTATAACTAACCAAAACTGCACGAAAACATTTAGTAGTTCTACATAATTATAAAAACGAAATGGTTGCCATGGGCACGCACATGTGCTTCTTAGAATCAAGTAATACTAGTAATACCTAGGTGGCGCTGGTTGTTAACTCATCATGGCTGGCACTATTCTGTGACCGGTGCATAATGACCAATCCTACCTATTTTTTATATAGGCAATTTACTTTAAATTGTAATTTTTAATCGTTGTTTTATCATTAAGACATTGTGCTGAGCCATCCCAATAAATTAGTAAGTGATTTCTGATCAGTTTCTTCGTTTCAGTATGTAAGTTTTTTGGTATATTTGTTTATTTTTGAATTAATGGGAGTTGTCCTGTTATGATGCTAATAACGATACTTACATACAACAATTCAAAAACAGCACTATTGTTACGTTGAGCGGTTCTATAAAATGTTCTCGAGAACTAAAGGTTATTCTAACCGAAACTATATATCAATGACATTTGGAATTTCTACTCTAGATTCTACAATTATCTACTTAGGGTTTGCAAAAAAAAAAACGGTTGCTTTTTAAAGCAGCTAAATATTTTCAATTTGTATTGTACAGAGAGGGAAAAGAAAAAGGAAGTATTTATTTTATGAATTTTTGGGATCTATTGGAAGCAATCATACTCGGTTTCAAAATATGTTTTCAACAATATTACATTTTGGGAAAAATGTACATTTTTTTATCACCATAGACGCGTGTGTTTAACCCAAAAACAAAAATAGTTTTCGATGGTTCCACATTAAAATTTTTGGTTGGTTCTGTAGAACTATGACAACTGCGCAAGATTATTTTTATCTATTGACTCATTTTTAACATATTCAGAGAGATGAGCCAATTTTATAAAATGAAAAACTTTCATTACATTATATTGCAGGGAAACACATATTGTCATTTTTTTTAGTCTTGCTACTCAAATATGAAGAAAAATGATTCGATGCTCACTCTATATCCTTCTGTTGAGAAAAAATCCTATTCTAATCCCTGATTAACTAACCACACCCTTCTGGTGTCTCCTAATAATTATGGCACGTGAAAAAAATTCTTGCTTTTTGTTCGTTTCTTAACATCATTTTTATTTGATAGTTCCATTAGTTCCAGTGTAGAATTTTTCTCACGAGATGCGGAGCTTTTTGGGAGCAGCTGAATTTTTGAAATGAGACTCGCAAAGTTGTCAGGTATTTATTAGAAAAACAAAATTTTCGAACAATAATCAACGAACAATTAAAGATGCTTTCTTCCTCGGCTACATTAATAAACGTGAACCCTACGACTAGGACGATAAATGCAACTCAAACGCGTAACGATCGCTCTGGTCCATCCCGAACGGAAAAGCTCTCACTCTCGGTCGAACCCGAAAAACACTTAACTTTAATAAACGCCCAACGTCGAAGTTTTCTCGTAAAAAAGCATATAGGCGGTGCTTTGCAATACTTCGTCTACCGTCACCTCCCGTATTTCGACGTCGGAGGTATAATACCACCTACAAAAATACAAAAATGTCATTAGCGACCTTAAAAAATAAATTTAAACTAACCTATTATTCTGGTGGCCCCTTCTATAGGTAACGAAATGTCCGGAATGCGCGTCGCCCGTATGCACCACCACTGCCGCGAGTTGATAAACGTTCCTGAACTCGCCGCCCATGTCGTTTAGGGAACTGCCGGCCCAGCACAGGGGCGTGCTACTAGACAAGGGGCTCCCTCCTTCACTCGTGCTGGTGTAACTCTAAAATATGTAAAAGATTTCGTCGGTTCCGCGCCATCTGCCTTTAAATAGGGGGTCACATCTATTCACCGTATTTTGTACTAATTCATACCACCAAAGGAAAAAAAAATTGATGCGGCGTTTAAGAGGAAAAGACTAGCAGCTAGCTTGCATTAAATTTTGCAGTCAATGTGTGGACCAAAAACTACTAAGTAGAAACACCTACGTTGACTTACTGAATCTCACTAGCACGGGAACGATATTTGTCTTTCTGTCTAAGTCAACTTTCCATATACCACTCCTTTCCTTCCCCTACTATCTTTGTTTAAACATACGGCAAAACAGATTCGTATTATATGGTCTGTCTCAAAATATGGCTTTTGATGGCAATTCTGCCCGTCCATATTGTAAGACAGAGAATCTGGGACGGACTTTTAAAATATTTAAATATTATATTATGTATAATAAAATCACTTTAGTACTAATAGAAAATACGTGGACACTAAATATATCCAAGTGATTAATAATAAGTCCGTTTTTATTCTAAATATAATTCTGTCCACTCTCAAAGTTGTCATTTAGATTAATTACAATATTTAATTAAATTTTTACACTTGGAATAACATTTTCTGCTCTCACATTTCAACAAACTGGATGTAATAAAGGGAAATATATTTTCCTTCTTATTATATCTTGTTCACTATTGTCAAGACGGTGAGATTAAAAATCACCACGTTTTTTCTTTCTTCTGATAATTCCCTGTTAACAATGATCTTTATAGAAGATATTGGCGTTTTTGTATCTTTTCGAGCTTCCGTCACGTTTTCCGTCAAAACCCAAGACGATATACTTCGGGACAAACCATACCCACTGTTTTTGAGGAGACGATTTTAGTTTTTGGATTTCTTATAAAATTTTAAGAGATTTGTGCGATCAATTAATGAATCGTTTTGTTATTAATGGGTGTCGTTGTCCTATGTTAAAAATATTAGACTACTGAACATTTTGAGATTCGTGTACGAGAGCCGTACGAGGTGTGTTCAAAAAATAAGGTGACTTTTAAGTTTTATCAAAAAGTATTTATTTATTTACCAAAATTAATGTTGTCCCCTTAAAAGCAATCCCACACTTATGCCAACCATTTTTCCAATCTTCCAAGCACTTCTGGTAAGTACTTTCTGGTAGAGCCTTGAGATTTTCCAGCAATTTTTTCTTTATCTCCTCAATCCTTCCCTTCATAGATTTCTTGAGTTTTGGGAACAGGCGAAAGTCGCGGGGCCATATCCGGTGAATATGGTGGCTGAGGCATGATTTTGGTTTTGTTTTTGGCCAGAAAGTTAGACACAAACAACGCGATGCAAAATCCATGAATTGTTTTCCCACAATTCCGGACTTTTCTTCATATTTCTTCTCGTAAACGGCACATAGATTCAAGGTAATAAATACTCTTTATTGACGGTACGACCTTGTGGTAAGAACCCTTGATGTACTATGCCACGACAATCAAAGAAAATAGTAAGCAGAACCTTGACATTTGATCGAACTTGACGTGCTTTTTCCAGTCTTGGCGATTCTGGGTTCTTCCATTGAAACGACTGGACTTTGGTTTCGACATCATAACCATATACTCATGATTCGTCACCAGTTATGACCTGTTTAACGGCTCTTGGGCAACGCTGCTTCAACGGTCATTTTGTTTAAAATTAAGCAGTTTCGGAACATAAAAAAAGAAAGATGTACGTAGCCCGCCCAGTTACAAAAGTCACCTTACTTTTTGAACACATCTCGTATATGACAAATCTAGCAGCGTCGTTTGCCATGATTAAAAAGTTATTTGCAGCCTAACAATTTTGCACGAGTATTTTGAAATTGTGTCATAGAAAATAAGGGGAAGGAAAAAATACCAATTATAAAAACAATATGTTGAAAGCAACTCGTAGAATAACTTTCGAACCAAAATTATGTATTGTGATAAAACAAGTAGAGGACCGAGTAAATTTGGAATATTTTTTGTAGTACAAATCAGTACAAAATCAACTCCTTTAAATGCTATTTTTGTTCTTCTCTATTGTGCTTTATTAACAGTTACATTTTCTTATAAAACAAACATGGTATAGTACTTTTACTTTAAATTCAACACCATCCGGATTATTGATGTGAATAAATTGTGTTGTTTGGTGGTACTTACGGAACCCGCCAGTTTTCTTTGATAATGGACCTGCACGAACGTGTAGGCAGACATCGACAGTCTCATCGGAAACTGCACGTAGTCCTGCCGCTTGGACATCCCGCCCGGCTGCCACGTGTTCCTCGAAATGTGTATACACAGACAGACGGGTAGCTTCCCGAAATTCAGAATCTTGATTTGCCTAGACATTAAGGGCGGGAGAGACGGATCCCGGTCCCTGTTACACCCGTCGCACTGGACATCCTGCACCACCTCGGGCGTTACGAAATTCGAGAGCAGCTGGTGCAGTTTATGGCGTCCCCAGCCCAAGTCGCCGGCGCCGCTCGGCAGCGCTAACGACAGGCTTTCGAACTTGTCATACCGCACAGCTGACTAAAACATCCAATAAGGCCGATTACTAAAAATTAGGAGTCCTCTCTAAAGTCAAACCGATAAATTATTTTTTTTTAGATATATTGAAAGGTTATACTTCATACACATTTCAATTGTTTTACTAATAGTACTTATTAGTGCAATCTATACTGAATACCAAATTTACAATATGCTTCAAAGGGTTTAAGAGACGTACAATATTTATTTTTATTACTTCAGAGCTAATGTTACCCTCACCCTCTTTCACACCATTTTTGAAACATTTTGTTTGATCCAAAATTTCATTGTCGTTAATAGGTGTAAAATAAAAGGAATTTAGATTTTCTTATCTCGTTAAGGATAGGACTGACCCGATTAGAATTAGATATTTTTCGCGCTAACTTTTTACCAACATTACAGAAGTAGGAGTTAAATTCATTTACTATTAGTTTTTTGTCAGTTTTTTCAATTTGTTTGATTTCAGATTTATTAGTTTGATCGTTTGTTCCTTTAATTTTTCCATATCTTCTAAGAATCTCTCGAGTTATAACATCAGTAATTTTTTAGAGTGCAAATATTTGGTTTTTTTTATTAACTTTGATAATTCGCTTCTATATTCTTTATAATCGTTTAAAATATTTCAATTATTTTTATTCAAAACGCATTATCCAAGGTTTTGATCTAGCTTTTTTAATGATCACTTTTCTAGTTACCTTTGCTCTACCAATACTTTGCAATAAAGATATTTGTAGACACATTCTTCTGCATGTATTCAGAAAGCAGGTTATGATTGATATATAAAGGTGTTCTTTCTATAAACTTTTCAGGGTAGGGTAATGATCCGTTAAGTCGCTCAACAAGATGACAGCATTAATAGCGGCCCTTTTTCCGTTCCTTTGCCACTAACCAAAAGGTATAATCCATGTACTTGTCATTAGTATAGTCACTCATGAATTCCAACATAACTTTCTTAATTGCTTCTTTTAATCAAATGTTAACATAAATAAAGCACTTTTATCATTTAACTTTAAAACTCCCGTTTGTTGCCCATATTTTCACCACAACCTGGCAGCATTTCGGAATGAATCGAGAAGGGTTGAAAGGAATAGGGCATACATTATTTTACCTACCTTGTATCTGCATTCCGTGCAGCGTAACTGACTAGTAAGCGTGCCTGTAAATGGATGAGAGACGGGTTGTGCGGGAGGCCCGGTCATTTGTACAGCCCGACACGATCTCGAAATCCACCTGTTTCTTCTGATAGCTCCTCCGCGCCAACTGGTTGGCCTGCAAAGCTCATTGAGCGACATAACGCTCCCCATCGAATTATACTCGCTCTCTGCATCATTAGCGTCATCCAACTCTAATTCATTCATTCCCAAAGCGTCCGAAAGACAACCAGCCTTCCTACCCATCTTCTGTGTTTCTTCGTCCAAAGTTGTCAGAATAACGTTCAACAATTCATGAGCGTCCTGTTCTCCAGCCGGTATAACCCAACCCAGTCGCTTCAGGGCGTTAATAACAGCAGCCGGGGCGAAGCTGTCTTGTACAGATTTGTTCGTTCCATTGACTACAGATAACACAGTTGCCAAGGTGTTTCTTAGGCTCGTTTCTCTGGCTGTAGTGTCTTTCTCCAGCCAAGCTACGAAGTTTGGACAGGCAGCCAAAGCGTGAAGAATAGCGTTCAAAAAGCAGGTTCGTCCCAAATTGACCAGTCCCGCCAAACGGCTCCTTCTGCTGCCTGAACCAGTCGCAGGACCCCAAAACACGAACGCTCCAACGACGGCAGCGGCGGTGAGACCCGCGGCCACCAATAGTCTGTCCGATTCCATCCTTAAACATGAAATTCCTGGTTAGAATTTTGCGTCTTAAGATTTTTCTTGATGTATCTTATACCCTGCTTATTTTTTAAGGATTACTCATCCATCCTTTTTGATTGGAATGTGCGAACCGGCATTACTTTTCAGGATTTCCTGGACGGATTGTTTCTAGAAACCTAAATAAATGGCATTGGTTTTGTGCCCAAAATTCAAACATCTCTTTACGCCATTGACATAATTTTGAAGCGACATCTGTTTCACGTTTTCCAACACTTCGTTAGCAAATACAGCTTAATACAATAAATGTAGGTATCTTGTTCTCAAATTAAAGATAACTCATATATTTATTTGAAAACACTTTTTTATAAAATCAAAAACTACTTTTAGTTCTAAGAAGAAGGGGTTGACATATTAACCTAATTCTTCTTTCTTAATTGTTTTAGAAAAGAAAAAAAAAAGCCGTTAGTATGATTGAATTTATATTACTCAACATTATTTAATTTTTTTATACAGTATTTTGGAACCGGTACTACCCTGAACTTTTAACGATTTAATATGTGGTTTCAACTTGTTCTTGAGATCTTTCTGAATTTCTTCATTATTTTCAAAAATGGCGATTAATATAAAACAACAACGATTGATATTAATCCACTTCTGAAGCTAAAATTATAAAAATTGGTCAATGAAAATGTTACTAATGCTACTTAGTAGTAAACCAACCACATCATCATTAAGAGCATCAACAAGAAATCGACCAAAGGTAGGGTTATTCATTTCCAAGGCAACTTTATCATGTTGTGCCAATTTTTTCAGAGTCATGTGAATACCAGCGTCTTCTATCCCCAAAACCTCAGTGTCCCCAACTTGAATTTTCCAATCAGAATCAGTAACTGTATCAACAATTTTTGATAAAGCATTTCTGAGGTCATCTCCAGATCCTAAAATAATATCAGACAACCCCTGAACACAATAAAATAAATAGGTATGTTTTACCAGCTTTCAAGATTGCTAAAATTTCAACGGCAATTGAAGGTCTCGATAGCCAAAACTTCGAATCTTCACTCACTAGCTGAAGTAAAGTTGAGATAGAGTAGGCCAATATCTCCTTACGTCTCACTTCTTGCGGTTTTTTACTTGTTGAGGATTCCCTGCCCTCATTTAACTCATTAACAAATTTTGGATGGAACACTGTACTGTTCGCTGGAGCTACTAGCCATAACAAGACTTTTCTACCCCATTCACTCACTGCCAAGTCTTTGGCATTGTTTAATATCTCTGATATAATGATTTTGTGCAGTAAAACTGTGTCATCTATTGAATCTAGTAAAGTAATCACAGTGCAATGCCCAAACTCATGCTTTGATAGGTCCACTAAATGTGTTTTTAAGGCTTTCATGATTTCCTTCCTCAATTTTGCCGACCCATGCCATATACATTGCATGGCGGCCCTGCTACCATCCTTGCTATTACTTATAACCACTATGTGAGGTGCCAGTTCGGTAACTAACTCAGTTCGATCATCTGTTGAACACTCCTGCAAAAACTGATTCAGCACAGTTTGAACTAAACCAGAGTCCAACAGGGTTTTGTTTAAAACTTTTTTAATGTTCGCTTTACATGCTCCCAGTGTAGCAGACTTCATAGACTCACTATCCTTGTAAACATCTCTTAAATGTTTCACATTAGGGTCCTTGGAATTTTTGTAAAGATCTCCATAAAATTCTTGTACTAAGTACTGCTTTTGTTTATTACTAGCCCAGTAAGAGTAAGCATACTCCAAAACAGATGCACTGACTGAGTGGGTAGCCAACTTTACAGCATGTCCTTGAAATTTATCTATAACTGCAGTTCGTATGTCATTTTGTCCATATTTTAATAAACGTTTTACACAATGGATTCCATATTTTGACTGGATCATACTGATTGTAACTGGAATCAGCTCCTAAAAACAGACAGCTTATATTCTTAAAGCCCTACACTTATACACTTATATAGTTACCTCAGATATTTGATGAATCAGAATATCACTAGAATATTTCAGCAACCACTGGACTATCCTAGCTGTATCATGGGCGAGAACAAACTTTGCATAATTTCCTTTTAGAAGATTGTTTAACTGATTAATAATAACATTTCTGTGTTCAATACTAAGGGTTTTAAGACGTAACTTCTCCCCCATCTTTTTGGCTTGTTGAATTTTATCAAAGTTATCCTTGGTCCTAGCTTGCACCCTCTTAATTTTTAATTCCTTTTTTTTCTTTTTAAATTCATTCCAGTCATCAACTTTCTCAAGAACCCCTTGTTTGTCTTGCTTGGTTTTGCTTTTGTCAAGCAACCTCTTAGGTTTGACGACTTTTGGACTCGTGTGGTCCGATTTTTTGTTAATATTTGAAAATTTTGACTTACTAGTTGCCAATTTCGGTTCTTCATTCGAACTGTGGGATTCAAATTTAACTTTTTTGCCAATATTACTTTCGCCGACTTGTTTCTTATGTTTGCCTAGTTTTGTTTTAGCTGGCGGATCATTTTCTTGCAGTTTTAATGTTTTTTTAGTCATAATGTTCTTCTCCACACGTGTAAACAAGTTTTTAGGATAACCGAAAAGGTTAGGGTTTCTGTTTATCTTCATTTTCATTATTGTTTTTTTCTTCTTTTACTTCTGGTAGCCATAACAACAAAGATTAATTTGTAATTTTGTATACTTTTCTTATGAATATTATTTTTTTGTCTCTAATTGTGTTGAACGCCCTTGAGAATATTGATCAATAATTAATAAAACATAAGTTTGTAAACAAATAATAATAGTTATCAACATGGCATAAAAGCGAAAAGGCATCACTGACATTTAAATGTCACTCGCTATTTTACCGGCAAGATCTAGTATTTCAAACATGGCTGATGACAGTCGAAACTAAGAAATAGTTGACGCTGTCGAGTTGTACAGAAAAAAATAAAAGTTTGTACAATGTAAATAATTAGGGTAGGGAACAGCGCGTATATAGATGTAAATATCGTTCCGAAAACTCTGCTGTGATAAATGTAATGGCTAATGACTCGTCGGAGGAAGACCTAAGGAAAAACTTGGATATTTTGCAATCTATGATTGATGTGTCCGCCGAAAGGCTAGAGGGGCTTCGCACGCAGTGTGCTACTAGCGCCGAATTGACCCGTCAAGAAATACGCACGTTAGAGGTATGTTTATTAAGGGATGTTGTTTTCAAGGGTAGCACTTGTCAATATTGGGTGCCATTGACATTGAAAAGTTGCTGATGCGCCAAGTGTTTTCCGCGGAATTCAGCGTTGTTTTCAAAACCTTTTTCAGGGGAAATTGATAAAACTCTTCTCGCAACAACTTGTTACCAAGCTAAAATTAAGAAATGGTATTGAGGTACCGGTGCCTTCAGTGAAACAATGGCTTCAAGTTGTCGGACTTGGGAAGGACAGTATTGTTTCATTGTCTCTCAAAATATCGTCGGTAATGCCTTTTTTTTGTTATTTTTTTAAAATAAATATCTGTTTTGCTGCACACATTTGTGGGCGTAAGAAAGTTTTATTAGAAAAATGCTTTACCTTGCGAATAGGTGGAGGAGTTGCAAGAAAAATCCGAACACGAATTGAAATCACTGCTGGCGGCCAGCGCGGAAGAAGCGAGCCGACTCTGCCGGGCTCTGCACAGTTTAAAAAAGTACACCGACGTTTTGAAACGGGGCGAGTCACAAGATGGTACCCAGGACTCGAACTTGTCTTGGGACTCGTGGGACCGCCACCACTACTTGAAAATTAAATCGGAACTGTCGCCGAGGGCGGCTCGATCGCGTGCCACAAGAGCCTCAGTACCGTCCGAGGAGAATCTCTTCAATAACAATAACAAACCGGCGGCCACCATCACTTCCTCGCCGTCGGTGTCCAGTATTAATTCGCTGAACGCGGGCGGTGTCGTTTTGGGACCGCCCCTAACACCACCCGCAGCCGCATCCGCCACATTCAGTCCTCAAACGCTGCGGGGCAAAGGTAGGAGTTGTCACTACATGGAATAAGTACTACTACAAGCGACCAAAGCAGACAAAAACGTGGGTTACTCATGGAAGCCCACCTTCTTTGTCGCTTCTGTATGCTCTTATTCTGTGGTTGCGTTGAAGATCTGACTCCTCTTTACATGTATTTTTGCAGAAAAAAAGTTTCCAACCACTCCGCCCGCGCGTAGGAAGCACTTGACAAACAACGCGCCGGCGTTATTACCTGACTCTTTCCCGTTGACCAAAAGTAAGTCGCACGAGTCGCAGTTGGCCGCGAGCAAAGCGGAAAGCAATACGGAACTCAACAATATTAGGTTTGTACAGCTTATTCGCCATATTCATAAACTTGACGCTGTCGTTGTCACGTGATTTTCTATTATATTTAGGAACAAATTTTGGTGTAATTCAATGTAAAGGATCAAAAATCAAAATTGACAAAAGCATTGACCGATTTTGAAATAAATAATAATAATGATTTTTATATTAACGAAGCAAAATGTTGGAAAAAACGTAATTTTGGGATGTAACTTGAAAAAAAATTGCCTTACTTCATAGTACAACACAGGAACACCTAGACAGGTCGTGGAATTTTAAATACATCTAAAATATTGATAAGATATTTTGAATAATTTTTCTATTTTCTTTTATATATTCATTATTAGTCCGGAATTTTTGTAATTGTTAATTAACTGCAAAAAACAAGGACCGCGTCGGGTAAGCTACACAGATATTGGGAAGATGGTGTAACTTTTTGTTTCAAGTGAGACGAAGATGGTTGTGAAGCGGGCGAGGCTGCCCACAGAGCCCGGTCCCGAAACGATGGGCCTGACGAGCCCAGTGCTCACGAGCCCCGTCAAGTCGCCTCCCTATAACAGCACTGGCACCGACAGTGATGACAGCAGCTACACATGTAATTATAAGACTACCTCTAATAATTTGTACAGGGTGATTCGTTGAAAATTTTATTGAAAACTACAAAAGATTGTACATTGTACATACTTACATTTCATATACATATACTTTGCTAAAGCTTGACAGTTACATACCAAAAAGCTGAGCACCCTATTAGCATATTGAACCACATTTATGAGTCGGTGTACCGAGGTTCTTTACAATTTTTTCTTTGGATAGTAGTACATTTTGTAGTACAATTTTATTTATTTAATTTATTTATACCTAGTAATATTCAAACATATTACTTATGAAAGTGAAGTGAAGTAAAGCTTACTGCCGTTTCGAAATGTAAAGTATTTTATCACAGGTCATAATTTTCTAATGGACTTAAAACTATCCCTAATATAGATTAATCACATTTAAGTTGCTCAGAATACACAAGTAGGTATATCACACTGTGTAAGAAATCTTTAACAGTATAGAAAGATTTTTATAATAAAAAAAAAATAAAGAATATTATTTAATAACTTATTGAAGAATTTAGGAGGGAGTTTGTTTATGTTAGCCTTAGATTTTTCCAATCTGAGAAATTCAGGGTTTATGTCTTCATTATTATAAATCATCAGTATTTTAAGAGTAAAAGTGTTTCATAATCACATATATGTTCGAAGCAATCCAATATATGCAGCGTATTGCTAAAACTCTCAGTTCTTTGAAGTGTTTTTTAATGGCAAACTTATATCTCTATTATTGGAAAGCAAAATCAAAGGTTATGCTATGTCGTAGAAGTGCGGCAACGCCGCTTCGCGGAAATTAAGTGCATTTCAGCAATGTCATCTTTACGTAAACGAAACGAAACACCCCGTATAATCGAGCGTAGCGCACTTTCCTTCCCGTCTCGCGTGCTTAAAGGGAAACGGTTCCAGCTATCAGCTTGCAAGTGCCGAAAAAAATGACGCACCAGATCAACCACCGGTTCACGAAAACTTTCAAGTTGATGACCTCGTGCGGACTGTGCCTACGTCCCATCCTCGGCATGGGACTCAAGTGCAAGGAGTGCAAGTACACGTGCCATAGGGAGTGCGAGGAAAAGGTGGCGCCCTCTTGCGGCCTGCCGCCCGAGTACCTCGACGAGTTCAAGAAGACGGTCGAGGGTAAGTTTTTGTTTTTTCACTCCACTGTGTCCATTGATATCATGGGAAATTGCGTAGTTAGGTTAAGCTGGCGATAAAATGCTCCGAGACGCAGGGAGTAACGTAAATTTCCATTAAGTTGCCGTTACGTGACCGAAACTGATTGCCTAAATGCGTCATGACGTATATTTTAGTAAATATGTTTTTACGCGGCGAAATAACTAATCTAACGTTTTTTCTTAGCAAAACTATATGTAGTTTTTAATAATAAAAGAGTAGCTCTTTAATAATTTTGAAAACGCCACTTTTAAATTGTTTGTTATGTTTTTACCTTCAGATACTTCCTTAATTTATCTTTAAAGTTGCTTGGACCATCTTGGAATTACTTTAAAAATGCATATTAAAGCTCTATGGCAACAAGTTGGACATTATTTAAAAAGATACATTATAAGCTATAAGTAATTAACAGTATATAAATTAATTGTAGAGAGAAAATCTACCTTGCAATAACTTTGGTCAGAAAATTAAATTTTAAAAACAATATAAATAAAACGATAAACAAAACAAAAATAGTTTAAAGATACCCAGATTCTCCTCTGGAATTAGCAGGGCAACGGTTGCAAAATTTTAAATAAAAAGAATAATGAAATATCAAATATAGAAAAATACGGGGAAATCCTGTAAGACGTTTAAAAGATAAACTGACAGCATGTGTCCTCTATTTCTTGTTGGTCATACCTTGGACGTTGACGTACTAGACTTATATGTTAAGTTATTATTTCATTGATTTAATTCATTTTTGGAAAAAAAGTTTTGCAATAATAATATGAAATATTGCATTAAATAACAATTTCATCATTGTTAAAAAATTAATTTAAGAAAATTAAATAATAATAATAAAGATAAAACATAAGTACATTAAAAAGTAGTAATAAGCTTTTTCTTACCTTTCGTATACTTCCTCTTCCCTTTCACCACATTTTCTAATAAAAAAGCGACGCAACATACTTACAGATCAAACTTGATATGTATAAAATTATATAACATTAAACAAATTAAATAAACAAGAAAAATCTAATTTGGTTATTCCGCTTTCCTATAACAGTATCTAAGCATATTTATTAGCTTAAAGACACTTGCATCTAAAACCAAACTAAGAAATAAAAACATAGAAAGCTGTAACTCCAACTTTCCAACTCACCTCTTCGTTCCAGGTCAGGTATTCCCGTCGCCTACGGCATCGAGGTCAAGCAAGACGAACAACATCATGAACTCGCTGACGCGGGGGCGGCATCGGAAGAACTCGCACCCCCAGCCGCCGGTAAACGTTCCGGTGAGTCCCTAATCTCAAATTTTTTTCCAAAAAAAAAAAAATAATAATGCGATTCCTTAGCCTCCAGATAGCAGTTCTAACACGTCGAGCTGCAATAGTTCGACGCCGAGCAGTCCCGCCATTCAGACGATGACGACGCTATCGAGCCAGAAACAGTCCCAGTTCCATTTTCCAGGTAGGTTGTGTTAGGGGATCAAAACTCGGTTGGATAAATTGATGTTATTATTTGTTGACTCGAATTATTTAGATCATTTACGTCCGGTAGCAATAGTTGCATTTGACTCAGCATTTCACTAACTTGTGCCGCTATAAGCTCTTTAATCCTCCGCCTCTTAGCAACTTTTCGCCGGCTGGCTTCAATGTCACCTTTATCGCTTGATGAGCATTTGCCATGTTTAGTATTATCCTCGTCATTTACGGGCAAATTCCTCTCTAACTGCATTGATTTCAAATGTCTACTTCGACGATACCTCGACGATTTACCGCAATTTTCACTAGAACATTCACTCCAATTGTTAGTCTAATTATTATAAGGCGCGGTATAATGGATGAGAGAAAAAAAAATCTATGTCCCACTTCTGAAATATTACCGAGGAGAAAGTAAAAACCTTCGAACCATTCGAAAATGTACTTTATTCTGTCCTTAAAATACCATTATTATTATTATGCCGAAATCCACGAGGCCAATTATCGATTGATGCGTGGCGACAAACAAGGCATTCAAACAATAAAACTGGGTATGGTCTGTTCATAGATATAAGAAAGTGACCATTTGCTTTTGTACGGATTATCCAATGGTGGTCATTAACACACAATGCAACAAGATTATTATTATTAATTAAGGTAATTATTAATTAAGGTAATCTTGTTGCATTGTATGTTAATGACCACCCTTGGATAATCCGTTCAAAAGCAATTGGTCGTTTTCTTATATCTATGAACAGACCATACCTGCTTATGAGTCATGCAACCCTCGCCCTCGAAATTTCTATATTTTAAAGAAACTAACGTGCACGGTATCATTCTGTATTAGTTCCGCTTTGGAACCCAACACTATTGTAACCATTATAAAATTATACTTAATATATTTATGAACTATATTAAAGGATCCCGTAACAATTGTTTTTATAGTCTTAGTGTTGGCTATTGATCCAGCCAAATTTTTAGAACTGATTTTCTTGAATACTAAGCCGTGCATAGAAAGTAAGGTAATAGTACTATATTTCCCTTATTTATCACTGTTATGCACATTTAAAAAATATTTTCAATTCTAAAGGGTGGTAAAAATATTTTTTTGTATTGCCACGTTTGTATGAAACATTCCGTATAATTGAGGATCTTGTTAAAATGGGCGCTCTTTCGATTTTATGGAACATTTATTAAAACGTTTTTCGAAAATAGTGACAAATAAGGGAGATACGGTACTTTGCTACGATATTGCGCCGTCCTATGTATATGGTGCGCGTCGTTTGACGTTTCGCGCGTTTGCGCAGACGCGACGACGACGCATGCCGATCCCGCGAAAAAAACGACCACCGAAAGCCACCCGACGCAGGCGTCGGTAAATTCGCCACGGCGCGAGCTGGTCAGCTCGCAGCAGTCGAAGGACAGCGACAGGACCGCGTCCCAAACGTCGAACAGCAACAGCACGGACTCGGACAGGACGCCCGTCCGATTGGACAGCCAAGACAGTCAGGTGTCCGACACGGAGACTATATCGGACGGGCACAGGTGGCCTCGACAAAATAGCGTATGTCCCACCAAGGATTTATTACTTGTTGGAGAATTGTCGCGATTTTGCAGTTGTCAATGCGCGAATGGGACATTCCGTACGACGAACTGAAGGTGTCTAAACCGGTTGGCACCGGTCGCTTCGGTACCGTCTACAGGGGTTACTGGCACGGCGACGTCGCCGTCAAGCTGCTGAACGTCAGCTACCTGAAAGACGAGAAGACGTTGGAGCAGTTCAAGATGGAGGTGTCGATATTTCGGAAAACGCGCCACGAGAACCTCATCCTGTTTATGGGCGCGTGCATGAAACCGCCCAAGCTCGCCATTGTGACCAGCTTCAGCAAGGGCAACACCCTGTACACGCACATCCACCTCAGGAAGGACAAGTTCAACATGGACCGGACGACGATGATCGCGCAGCAGATTTGCCAGGTAGAGGGGGGGTTGTGTTGATGCGTTTGAACTACTCCTAGCAGGAGTCTTTTTTTTTAAGAAGCGTATTAAAAAAAGTCATTTTCAATTTAAAATAGTCTCAATGAAACCATCGATCCACGGCATGCGATTTATTTGAACCACTATGGCCAGAGATAAGCTGTTTTCATTTCTTAGAACTGCTATTATACTGCCTTAATTGTGACTAAAAATTTTGTGGTTTAATAATTACAGGTTTTTATGAAATATTAAGTTGACAAGAGGTAAAAAAATTTGTTGTTCAGTTTTTGAGGTTAAGGTGAGTGCAAAGTGTACTTTTTAAAAATATTTTCAACGTTTTGTCGACTTGCTTATTTCAAACGGAACACCCCGTATGTTATTACATTTTGCTGTACGCAATTCTAAACATACTCTATGTATAACATAATATAGTAATATAACTTTGAGCATGCATATTTTTGTAATTTCTGAAAATTTAATCCTCATATTTGGCAAAATCTTATAAGGGAGGTTTAAGTTCACGTTTTTGTTATTGTTGTTGTCTAGTTTTATATAGTGTCCAAAATTAGGCCGCATTTTTTTTTTTTTTCAACTGGACTATGTCAAAATATTCTAATTCTGAACCATATTCGAAATAACAAGGTTTTTGATAGTGTCATATTTGTCCGGCTGGACATTTTCCCTTCACATACTTGGCTATAAAAAAACAGTTATTACTATTATTAATATACATTACACATACACAGCCTCTTTTTAACATTTTGCCAAATGTCAAGATCAAATTTTCAGAAATTACAAAAATTTGTAAAGTTGATTAAGCTGGAGGCACACTTTTTTTTCTAAAATTAAATATTTGGAAAACGGTTAGACATAAGTTATAGGACATACATAAAATATGTGTATAATTTTACACAAAGTAAATAAAAATAATATACTATTTCAATTAATGAAAGTGAGAGGACGTTGAAATTTTTTTTAAAAGAAGTACACTTGACACCTTAAACTGTAAGGCGTTTCTAAATTACATCTAAATACACTTTTAATTAACGGGTTGTGTGCATTATTTCCATAAAATGCTTGTCGCCCATATCTCTTTAAAAAAAGAAAATACCAAACAGATGCCCACCTTTTGAATCTTCTATATAGAGGTCTTATTTTCCCAACGCCATAACTAAAAAATAACATAAAGAAAATGAAGCTCACATCTTTTTACAAAAAAAATATAAATTTATGTATAATCAATCCATTATCCAAAGATAATCTGTCAAAGTAGATTTCTATTTATAAGATATTGTATAGTGTTGTTCTTTCTTTTGATAGTGGATAGATTCGATATGTATCATTATCTGCTAATTAAAATAGTAACTAGGAAATTAAATATTTTTAAAAAATTTCCAGTTGCTTTTTGGTTAGTTTTGTGGGAGGACTGGCATTTACGTAAGCTGAAAAAATGTAAGGGGTTGTTACTATAAGATTTTATTATATGGTTCATTAGAACTACCGCAAGAATAATAATAAATGCAATCATAAGCTAAAATAGTAGTTCATCAGAACTACCAGTGGTATCGGTTGGATCGTTAGAACTACCGATGACGTTCTCTCAGGGCATGGGTTACTTGCACGCGAAGGGCATCGTGCACAAGGACCTAAAGAGCAAAAACATATTCCTCGAGAACGGCAAAGTGGTGATCGCCGATTTCGGCCTGTTCAGCGTCACCAAGCTCTGTTTCGGTCACAGGTAAGTAGCGAATGCCCGGACCGAAACGTTTCACCTCACAGCGCGTGACGTTTCGCAGAAAAAGCGAAAGCCTCAGCATTCCGCCGGGCTGGTTGTGCTATCTCGCCCCCGAGATCATGCGTTGCCTCGACGCCCACATCTTTGAGGAGAACGAGCTGCCGTTCAGCAAAGCCTCCGACGTGTACGCGTTCGGGTAATACCGCAACCACGCCCCCTCTCTCCACCATTCTTACTCTTTAATGTTCCAGCACGGTTTGGTACGAGCTGCTATGCGGCGAGTGGCCGTTCAAAGATCAACCACCCGAATCAGTCATCTGGCAGGTGGGGAAGGGCATGAAGCAACCCCTGGCGAACCTCCAGGCGTCGGGCGAGGTCAAGGACATACTGATGCTCTGCTGGCAGTACCGCGAGGAAAACCGGCCCGACTTTATCCGGATCTTGGACTTTCTGAAGAAGCTGCCCAAGAAAAAGCTCGCGCGCAGCCCTTCGCATCCCATACACCTGTCCAGGTCGGCGGAGTCGGTTTTCATGTAAACGGACGCGAGGTGGGCGGGGCCGAGGCGAAAATTGCATTCCTAAGACGTTTTTTTTTTCTGTCGTTTCCTTCTCCGGAACTCTAGTCAATTCGCGAGGCGTTTCAAGTCCCGAAACACACTTCGGTCAATGATTCTATATGAATAATCGGCTAGGGTAAAAAATAAATAAGGAACCGTTTAAGAAGGTCCGTCTTTTTATTTGCGCTCTCTAACCTAAAACCTAAACTTCGCAATATAAATAAAATACATTTGGCTTTTCAAGACTAAAGGTCGCAATGCTGCGACGAAACGTTTTGTATACGACATAAAAAATGGCATCTGATATAACTGAGGGATGCTGATTTGTTCGGTAATGTTCTCGTAATCGCTCAGTCTGTGCCCGTCTTCGTCGTGAAGCTCGGGGGCATCTCTACGTGGAAAGAGATCCCGTACGGCCGCAAATGGTAGATTAGATACTCGAGCACATACATCTGGTTCGGAGAGACATAGTGGAACGATACAGCATTATCGGAACAGCACTCCATACCCTGGAACGCAAGGGCTTCATTTTTTTTGTGTGCAGTGAATGATGATACTCGTAGGGGACAACTGTAATCCGTAAAGGAAGTAGGGAAAAATGTGTCGCGAATCTTGTGGTTCATTAGAACTACTACTTATGCATTTGTAAAGAAATTACTTAAAAATGTCGGAAAGGAACAGAACGCAACGCAAAACAACGAATAAAACCTATATATAGAAAAACAACAGTTATTATAGGAGTTAAATCGTCTCGCATTTGGAACAACCGCGAAAATGTCATGATATAATATGGAATATTTGAATATTATTACTTACTACAAAGCATGCTTTTTGAAAACCCATTTGATACGTACAACACTCTTATAGGCGCCAATTTGTTGAGGTTCATTAGAACTACTTCTACTACTATTGGAGTGAGGATTCATTTTGTGTACAGCAAGCCACTAATAATTCTCATATATTTCTGTTTTTAATTAGAACGCCCTTAAGCGAATGACATAAATGACAAATTGTTTAACCTACTTGAAAGCAAAAAAAAAATCATTAATCGTCATAAAAACAATTATTTCTCATCTAGGATTGGCTAGTAAACTTAGCAGACCGCTACGAGATCTGTTTATCTGTTCCAACTAATCAGCTACCGCTGGAATGTTTTTAAAAAAAGTAACAAATCTCGGTAACTGTTACTAGAAAACAAAAAAAGTGGTTCATTAAAACTCCTTGCACAATTAAATTAGAACAAAATATGTTCAGATTATCAAATACAGAATATGACAATATTCCAACATCTGTACCTATCTATAATAAGGTAGTAATAGATTCTCAATTATCGGTGTAGGATTATACATTTAAATGTAACAACGGAGACGCATTTAAATCCAATTGGTCATTAAGTAAAAGCTTTGAATATCTCGTTTTATTAATCTCCCTAGCATCCAACAAATTTAGTTTTCTGCTTTTTGTTTCATTATGGAAAATATCAAAACTATCGTCAAACTTGTGTATTTCTGAATTGAAATCAACGGCGTAGTTGGAATCCGAACTTTTATTTTTATACACCCTTTTATGTTCATCAATCCGTTTCTTAAATGTCCTACTGTGTGTCGGATATAAATTTTGGGACATGATCCACATTTCAACTTGTAGACTCGTGATTTTTGAGTTTTTCGTAATTTAGTACTATTTTTTTTTAATATCCCATGGTGTTTTCATTTTAAAAGGGATCTTAGATTTCGATTTTTTTTGTGCTTTATTTTATAAATTGTGGATTTGGTATTTAATATGGGATAGATAGAGTTCAGAGTTATTTCAAACTGTTTTTCAGTTATAATCTTATCTATGAAGGAGGGTTCATAACCATTGTTAAATGCTATTCATAATTCGGACTCTTTCTCAGAAAATGTAGTAACAGTTAAATTGTAATTGTAAAATTTATTATTAGAAAAGACAGCTTTTTAATAGGTCCTATTAAATTGTCTAACTTGGATTTTTGTCTTACATGAATAATGTTTGATATATCTTACTATGTCATTCATTTAGATTCATAAATACATCAATTTCACGATAATTTTGATATTTTACATAATGAAACAAAAAGCAAAAAAATTAATTTATTGGAAGCAATGGAGATATATGGATACTTAATAACAAATTGGCTTTAAATGCGACTCTCTTGTTAAATTTAAATTTATAACCTTACACCCCTAATTAAGAAACTATTACTACCTGATTGTATATATAGATGTGGGAATATTGTAATATTTTGTATTTGATAACCAAACCGCTGTCATAAAGTAATAAATAACCGTAAAAATCTTAACATATTTCGTTCTAATTTATATGTGTTAAATGGATTTTCACCCAAGTAAAAACCACTTCAGTTCAAAACTACTTGGAGTCAAACCAACCTCCTTATTTTCGTAGTATATGTACTGCCAGTACCAAAAACTCTTTGACACGTGCCCCGGTATGAGATGATGTTCCGGAACAAAGGGAAAAAACCGGCCTCGGCCCAGGGAATCGCGCGAGTCTCCCGCCTTAACGTTGACCGCTTCCATACAGCGACCGAGTTCGACGTCCTCAGCGCCGCTATCGCTCTTCGAACACCCCGTTGAGTTAGTCAAACCAATCTGCAATGCAAAAGCGACAGAATATCGACGCGGTACGTTTGAACTACCGTTCGCACCTCCACGAATCGCTTCAGCGCTTCCTTGCTGAGTACGTAACCAGCGCCACCACTCATGTAGCCCTGTTTTACGTAAGGTTTGAAGCGGCAACCGAAGTAAATCGAGTCGCCGGAACTGTATGGCACCAACATGTACCGCAGATTCTCTAATATCACGTAGCTGGCGAAAAAAAAATTATATTCCATTTTTTTGTTGACGCCCTTTATAGCTACGCGCTTACGTATCATCGTCGGCTTTCAAAAACCAATCCGCTTTGTCTAAATAATTATTATATATATGCCTGAATGCCTCTTTGGTTTTGCCCCACAGGTATTTGCGCCCTTCCTTTATCGGTAAAGCTACCGCGGGTAAATTATCATCTAAAAATCGCAATGAGCAGAAAAACTATTTATTTGCATTGAACGAAAAATTGAAAAAAAGAAAACGCCACTGATTCAAGCCTAGGAAGTTCAATTGGGAATTAACCTTTCCACATAAATTATCACTGGTTTACTGGGTAAATAAGGCAACATTGTTCTGGAATTTAAATCATCATTGATAAAAACGCCAGTCAAACCCACAACTTATAGTGAGATAAACGACGCCTCCACAAGTTTCTGTTATTTTAAAGATAATAGAATTTATCTGGCTTCCTTTCAGTTACACTAACCAATGATCAAATATTTAACTTGCCTTTTTGTGAGCTCATGAATAAAAGCACGTTACATCGCTTGCCCCAGGTGTTTTTCACGTGTTTGGCCCTTTTCTCGTGGTTACTAGGACCCGTCATTACCCAACACAACACCCGCACCTCTTTATGAAGCTTATCGGCCACAGTACTATCCTCCATGAGATGGTATTCCTCATATTGCGAATGACTACCGGGATCTACTGTAGGCCCTTCCATATATTTCATCTCATCGCTCGTGTGAGGGTCCGAAAAAGATATTTCGCGCGTGAGCGCCACATACGCTATAGTGAACCCTATGGCTAGGCCCGAAAATAAAGTCATAAGGCAGTGCTTGTTTGTTTGCCTTAAAACGCGTCCGGTTAGCGAAATTGAGGTTTTTTTCCCGCGTACGTACCATTTATACATCCTGTTGTATCTCATATCACTAGTCGCGTAAGAAATTCACGAACATATCACAATTCGGAGCATTTTGTTTGGTTTACGATTTTTCAATAAGCCTTGCTTTTACTTGTACATATTTCCGTACATTTGAAATAACGTTTTCTATTTGTCAGAGAATATCAACCAAATCACTTTCATTATTGATAACAAATCAAATCATAAACAAAATCTCTAGTTTTAAAAGACGATTACAGGCATAAACAAACGACAGAAGACAGAACCGGTAGCTAAGGAACCATAGACCTTATAAAACCACGGATTATAAATAGAACGAAACGGACTGGTTTGGTGGGGTAAGGTAACCAAATTCTCATGGATAACGATTGTATTGAATTTGCCCACAGATAACAATTTGTATAGTATTCTGTTGCCATTCAAATGTAATCTCTAGGCGATTATAAGGGAAAAATCAATAATTTCACTTCCAAAACAGTATTTACCGCATATGAAAAGACGGTTGAGGTCGCGGATCAATAAAACGGATCCTTTTTATTTATAATAAATGAGAAGGCACTTTAGTGAAGAGTTTTGTTTTGCCACGGGCAGAGCGAGTGGTTAATAAACTAGTGACTTAAAAAATTTTTACGACCGTGACCAAATTATAATTTAATAAATTAAAAATAATGAAACACCAGATTACTAAATTTTGTATCACTCAAACAAAATATTTACTAGTTGATATTACACCATTTTAAAAGTTATTTACCACTAGATCACATTATGTGACCCAATTATGAAATTAATAAGCGGTGACAAATGTTCTGGGAAACTTTATTTAACAAAACAAATTAATACAATTTATATATAAATTCAAATGTACTAGTTTACATTTTCCGCTTTTTTTTTTGCTTAGTGTAGTCATTGCAAACACACTCTTAATTTTAAGCTAAATATCAAACTAAACAGTTTATTCATAAACATCCTCTTTATCTGCAACATACCTGAAAAAAATAAGTTGCGAAATATCTGGTACATACACAACAGGGAGTTTTTTATTACCTTACGATATCAGATGGTTTAAGAAGTTTTTCAGCATCAACGTCTGGTATTTCAAAACCAAACTCATCCTCTATGGCCATTATTACTTCTACATGGTCGAGAGAATCTAATCCTAAGTCATTAATAAAATGAGAATCCAAGGACAACTAAAATAAATAAAAAATTAATTTAAACCTTTCATTTATCATGGAAAATTTATTAACAGAGACCAGGCCTAATGATATTGTTACTCCTAAAATGTAAGGCAAATATGTGGACAAATGTAACAATATCATTGTCATAAGCAAAATTACTGTACCTTGTCAGGATTTACTTTGTCGTACAGTTTTAAGACTAAAAGCACCCGGTCGGAGATAAGTTTTAACGACAGCGGGGGTTTGGAACTGTAACTTCGCTCATGAGGCGTTATGAGTCTCTGAAATAAAAAAAATAGCATATTAGGTTCCCCTAAGTACCTTGTCGGCTGTGACTTTATCGTACGAGGAACACACTTTAAGAACTCTCTGCTTGATTTCCTCCTCCGTAGGTTTCTCTTTAATGAATTCCGGCGAATAAAACCTAGGCTGCACAAGCATTTGAGAAAGAAGAGGTTATGTCAAATTATGTAATTAGGTTCCGCGTTTTCGGATAAAAAAATAAAAGTAATCGGTGCAAATTTTGAAACGAATATAAACTTTAACGTTAAAAGATACCTGTGTCGCTGTGACTACTGAAAGGTTGTTCGCGGGCGCTAAATGCTGGCGGTTCAGCTTGAGTGAGGTTACAAATGCTGGTTTTGTGGTCAAGGACCTCAGGTAGCTCGCGCCCCGAGCAAAATTACGCACATTTCTTGTCAAACACGACATTGCTACCTTTAGTTTCTAAAAAAATCGCCGGAAAATACAAACAATTCTTCACAAAGATATTTTCCTGACAGTTCCGCAGTCTATCCGACCATTGTCCAAATACTTTTTTTTTGTTGGACTAAATGACGTTACACACTCGCGCGGACACTGCGGTTTTGATAGTATTCCGGGAACATAAATTAATGTATTTACATTAGACTGCGGTCAATGTTTGACTGAAGTCAATTTTTAACTCTTTCTTATGTATGTATTTTTAAATAATAGTATAATTACATACAGGCTTTTTGCCCTAACTCCATAGCAGAATAGCAGAAACTAACCAAATGATTATTTCTACGCAATTGGACGACGGTAGAACAATTACCACCTTCTTTTATATTCATTCGCAGTACGTTGTCAAAGAAACCTGAAATGCAGTGCGTTCCATTTTACATTTTTCAATTTTTGACGATTGCAAATATGTCGGTTTGTACAAACCTAGGGACGCGTCAGTGTGTAACAGTTCTAAATTAGAATACTAAAATATTTAATAAATTCAAGTTAATATACGCTACGCACAGCGTAGAATCAATTTCGAGTGAGTGAATTTTTCGATTTTGTTTGGGCATTTTTTTTTTATTTTCGATTAATAAGTAACACTATCGTCTAAAACGTAAATCTTGGCCATCTCGGTGTTCTGTGACCGAGTCAGCTGTCGCTGTCAGCCTCAAAAAATAGCACTGTAGAAAATAGAATAGAGGAATAATTTATTTATTTGCACTTTCATCGCGAATCAACGTCCTGTTCGGGAATTATTCGCGGATTATGCATTCGATCGCCTAAAAAAACACATAACAACATGAGCAGGTTAGTAGATTTGTCTTTGACGCGGAACCCTTTTGAATTTTTTGCGTCGTTTCGCAGCGATTTGGACTCGGAGCTGTCCAGCGCGGACATTTGCCGCGTGTGCAGGTCCGAGGGTGCCTCCGAACGGCCCCTCTTCCATCCCTGCATTTGCACGGGTAGTATCAAATGGATCCATCAGGAATGCCTCATGCAATGGATGAGGTATTCTCGTAAAGAGTACTGCGAACTCTGCGGTCATAGATTCTCATTTACGCCCATATACTCTCCCGATATGCCGAGAAGGTTGCCCCTCAAAGACCTAGCAGCGGGATTGCTCTCTTCAATCGCTACGGCCGTGAAGTATTGGTTCCACTATACTTTGGTCGCTATCGCTTGGTTGGGAATCGTCCCTTTGACTGCTTGTAGAATTTATCGCGCCTTATTCACTGGAACCGTTGACGCCATCTTAACTTTACCGTTCGAGATGCTATCGACTGAAAATCTTGCTGCCGATATTTTCCAGGGTTGTTTTGTGGTATGTTGCACTTTGTTTGCTTTCGCCGGATTGGTTTGGCTCAGGGAACAGATTCTTCATGGCGGCGGGCCCGATTGGCTCCAACGGGACGATATTGTGCCCGCTGGCGAAGAAGCACCTTGGGTACTTCATAACATCCCCGAAGATCCTAACGAGAATGAAGAAGAGAACATCCAACAGGCAGATGGGGGTCAGTTTTTTGGCTATACTAAAGATTTTCGTGTTAAAATCGTACGCGTTTGTTTTTCCTCAGGCGAACAAGCGAATGAGAACGCGAATCAGCCCGACCAAGATGGAAACGTCGGCGAGGACAACAACTGGATTCCCATGGAGTGGGATCGCGCAGCGGAAGAGATCACATGGGAGCGGTTGCTTGGTCTTGATGGTTCTTTGATGTTTCTCGAGCACGTCTTTTGGGTTATCTCTCTAAATACCCTATTCATCATTATTTTCGCTTACGGGCCCTACCACATGGGCGTCCTGACCTTGTCCTTGCTCAATTTGCAAGAGTACGCTTCAGAGAGCCACTTCGAGGGCTTACTGACGACGTTGGTCGGTTACAATACCGTTGGGCTTTGGTTCATGGTACTGCACCGATTATCGAGTTGGTTAGGGTTCTTCAAGGCTAAACGGGTACTCGGTCTGTGTTACGTGGTCGTTAAGGTGTCCATGCTTTCCGTCATAGAGATCGGCATATTACCGCTCGTATGCGGGTGGTGGCTCGACATTTGTTCGCTGGCAATGTTCGAGGCCACTTTGAGAGACAGAGAGCACAGCTTTAGCACCGCCCCCGGCACCTCGATCTTCCTTCACTGGCTAATAGGCATGGTGTATGTTTACTATTTCGCTTCCTTCGTACTTTTGCTCAGGGAGATACTCAGGCCAGGCGTTTTGTGGTTCTTGCGCAATTTCAACGACCCAGACTTCAGTCCCATACAGGAAATGATCCACCTGCCGATCCTCGAACACATCAGGAAACTTATCGTTTCTGCGGTCGTTTTCGGTAGCGCCGTCCTCCTGATGCTCTGGCTGCCGATCCGCATCATCAAGGTCATCCTCCCCTCATTTCTACCCTACACAGTATCCCTGAACAATGACACCCAAGTGAACGAGCTGTCGCTCGAGCTGCTGCTGCTCCAGGTGATACTGCCCGCGCTCTTGGAACAGTCTCACACGCGCGTCTGGCTCAAGGCGTTCGTTAAGAATTGGTGCCGCGTGATGGCTTGGCTGTTGGACCTTCACTCTTACCTGCTGGGCGATCAAGAAGAGAAACGTGATGACGGCGCCGAAGGCAACGAGGCCGCACGACAAGGGAACCAGCCCCAGCCGGGCGGCAACCTCGGGGCGGTGCACCAAGCCCTGTTTGTCATGGAACCGCCCACCGGTGAGTTATGCAACAATTCATTCGCGATAACTTGACGGGGTTAACTTTCGTTTTCAAGGAAAAAAATATTGCATAAAGACATTCTTTATTTTTTCACAAAATTTCAAATAAAAACACTCGATGACTACCACAATACAATCAGAGTGCCGAGAGGTAGACTACGCGGGGAAGCGTACTGTGAAGATGGAGAAATCAAAATGTATTACATTAAATATTCTAAGTGTGTAAGAATGTACATAGGTAGTAAGAAAAAACATTCCAGCCCGAAAGAGATGACATCCATTCTTGTCTATTTAAGTCAACCAAAAAATCAAACAACCTTAGAACAAGCGATAAGTTACGGCTTTAACGGACGTATCTTTGGCCACAGAAGGAACACTAACAATTTCCTTAAAATAACGTTTTATAATATTACGATCATTACGCCAGTCCTGTTCTTTAAAATCAAATCAAGAAGTTGTACCTTTTTGAAGATAGGGATCTAATGTTGTCTGGAGTAAATTTATTATGTATTTTTGAGAGGGCAGTTTTTCCTTTTATTTCCCTCTTGAGAAATTGACCATAAATTTGGTCCAGTATATAAAACCTTGATTCCCTTCAGAAACTTTTGATAAGTGCCATCTATCTAAAGGAATTTCTTATTGAGGCTATTTTCTTTAAAGCAAGGTGAAAGTTGTTGTTTTCTGTGTCCCAAACCATGCCTAAATACTCCAGACACTGGGTTGCAGCTCTGGCAGCATCAATTTAGAGTTTTAGAGGGACCTAATAACTTAAGAATATATGGAATCGTGTACCCTCACTCAAACAATGTGTAAGAGGATTGAGGCTTTCGAAAAGTGGGCTTACCGAAGAATGTTGAAGATATCATGGGTGGACAGAGTGACGAATCAAGCAGTTCTGCAACATATGAAGAAAGAAAGAGAGGTACTTAATACCAGTAAAAGAAGAAAGTTGGAGTATTTTACCCACATAATGAGAAATAAAAAAAATAGAGGGAAAACGTGGTCCTAGTCGCTGAAGAACGTCTTGGCTCAAAAATCTTCGTCAGTGGTTGATCTGCTGCGGACAAATTTGAAGATCATGCGACTGATCGCTAATGTTCTGGGAGGATACGATAGGAAGAAGAATAAAACAGAGTGTCTAAATAGACAGTTATTCTTATGCCCATTTCTCTAAGCTCTGTAGCCAACCAATTTGATACTTTGGCAAAGGTGAGAGGTGCCGTTGAAGGGCCAAACTGGCATTTGAATAGGAGTACCTTGCCTTGATGAAACATTAATAGAAATTTTTGGTGTTGAGGTTTTACTGGGATATAAAATATAATATATGAAAACAAGATCGGTGCAAGCAAATCGGATGGGTTAATGATGTGTCTTGTGGGTATAATTTTTAGGCACGTTTGAATAGAGAACAGGCATGCATTTTGATACTAGAGATCTAGGTTCTCATGCATATATCTATATCAGGCTTAATATCAATTTACAACTTTCCATCCTTTTTTACCAAAATGTAACCAAAAGTAACCAGATTCCAAGCAACAAAAATCTTATGTTAAGTTGATCAATCAAGATCTGGAACGAACGCACGTCGTTTTGCTAAAAGCGGTAATAAAGATCTTGTCTCTCATGTGAATCACAAGTGTACTGAGGAATGTCGCTCACTTCTGGCCGTAAGCGACACTAGATGACGCGGGGAAACGCGTGAAATGAGAAACACAGATAATTACTAATAGAATTAAGAAGAGTAATCTCACAGGTTAAGCCGACGCCACAGAGATGAAATAGCATTTTTTAAGCCGAATTCCACCAAACAAAACGTGGGCGCATTAGATTCTATGTCGTAATTTCCGTAACACCCTGTATGACTGGTGCTCTTTTCTAAAATCGTTTGAAGGTCATCAATTACTAGCAAATTAACGTTTACTTTTAGGCTACCAGCCGTACCAGCGGCCATCTTTCTTCATAGCCCGCCTGGTGGCGCTGCTGATGCTGGTGTGCGTGTCGTTGGTCGTTTCGTCGGTAATAGCGCTCACGATCCCGGTGTGGCTGGGCCGGAGGGTGATGGCGTTATGGTTAGTCGGCGCCCCGCCCCCCGGACCACAGATCTCCGCGACAGAAGCAAAGACCGAGGTCAAAGTGCACGAACTGTACACGGCCGCTTGCGGCCTTTACTTGTGCTGGCTGGCCGCGCGAGCGGTCACCCTCGTGCTCGGTTGGTTGCCGCAAGGCCGCGCCGCCATGATGGACAGATTGAAACAGTGGTGCCTCCTGGGTTTGAAAACGATAATCGCGAGTACCATACTGTTGGGAATAATCCCGTTACTGTTCGGGCTTCTTTTGGAGCTGGTAGTGGTCATACCGCTGCGTGTACCCATCCACCAGACACCCATACTGTTTATTTGGCAAGATTGGGCGTTGGGCGTGTTGTACACGAAAATAGCGTGCGCGATCACGATGATGGGTCCCGATTGGTTCCTACGGGCGGCGATAGAGCGCGCTTATCGCGACGGGATCCGCGACATGAACCTGACGTTCATATTTAAAGAGCTCGCTGCCCCGGTTATTGTTAGTTTCGGGTTCGCCCTGGCGGTACCTTACGTCATAGCCTACACGTTTGTCCCGATGTTCGTGACGAACCTGCAAGCGAGGAACCTGATCGCCCGCCGCCTGTACCCGTTCCTGTTGCTCGCCGGCGTCGTGACGGTCGTGGTCGTCCTCCAGGTGAGACAGTTTCGGAAACTCTATGAGCACATCAAGAACGACAAGTATTTGGTGGGACAGCGCCTCGTCAATTACGACCACAGAAAGTCCAAAGTTCAAGACGCCACCGCCACGTAAAATTTCGCCTGGACTTTTTTTTTGTGGGACCGTTCGCGCGCCGATGACGTCATCACTTGTTAACTCGTAGGGAACGTAATTCGCCTCAGATCTATTTTCCCAACCATATAATTTTTTGCTCCACAAACAGTATGCAAAACAACTATATTCCACCCCTACTACAAAAAACTTTATGGCTAGATTACATATACTCGTCATAATTCTGCTCCACCCAACCGCAAGCCGCACCTTATTTCCTGTTTCACTTGCAAAAGCATTTTTAATCGCTGCCACAAATACGGAAGGGAATATGTTTTTTTTTTTCGGTTTTCTGGGACATGTTTCTGCTTCCAAACTAAAAATTAATTTATTGTGGTGTTGTGTCTGTGTCACGCCACAAGATATTTTTTGTGGCGCGGATCGGTAAGGTCGCCACAATTAACGGAAAGTTTATTTTCGACCCCACAAAAAAAACTTTTGTGGTCGGAATAAGTTTACGCACTTATTCCTGGCACCCCAATGGGCAATTTATTGCGAAACCCAGCGTCTGTAGGAGCTAATGGAATAGTTTAATTTTATATTTGTGCGCCGCAGACAATTTGTAAAATTTTGATGACGGGTCGCTTCGTGGGTGAACACCAATCAGGTGTTTTCGCGGTCGTAGAAAACCTTTTAGTTTTTATTTTTGCTCCTTTATTGGGATCTTAAAATTTTTTTCATTCAGACAGTGGAAGGCGTGTGACTTTTTTATGGGAAATATACGCGAAGCGTTACCATACGAAGACTGAAAGATTTTTTTTTGGCAAATGTTTATTTTTCTGGCATAATTTTTTTTGCATTGTTTGCAGCAAATTTAATTTGCATTCTGAACGGTTTGTTCTAGGATTTTGTAAATAAAAAAACGATAGACTTTGTTACGCAACTTTTTTGGCCACAGCGTTGCCCCAAATTTTGTGACGATTATTTACAGTGAACGTGTAGGGACTCGTACGCGGGAGTGTAATTTTCCATCCCATGTTGTCGGCGGCTTCTTTTCACCCTTGCAGACTACAAATATTTTGTCAAGATCTGTGAAACTGTTTGAAATAAAGACTTGAGTTTTTACCGTCGGCATTTTCTTTTGTTTGCCCGAATAAAACACCGAACTAAAATCGATATACTAAGTACATTAATATATAAACTCTCTGTGGGTCGGTGTCACAAGTCGTCCGACGTTAACACCGAGGCGGACATTTTACATAAGCTCTCGTTGAACGAAACGTTGAAATTTTTCAAGTAGTGCCTGAACCTTTTGCCCCGTTTCGTATTCGAGGCGGCCCGAGACTCTTCCGAACGGGTCACGGCCCTGAGAGCCGGCAAATAATCTAGCGCTACGGAAGTACGCTCTAGAGTGGCCGACACAGAAATGGCGCCAGTGAGGAATTCCTCGCAGGCGTGCTGATTCGCGCGCCACCTACGAAGAAGACAACAATTATGGACTGAGGACTACTTTGCCGTTGTCGAATCACAGAACATCATACAAAAGCGATCAAAAAACGTGATGTTTCTTTTATAACAGCACTATCAGTTAAATTCTCAAAAAAATTAATACAAATTTTAGAATATCATATTGCCTTTAAACTTAGATATCTTATCAAAAATTCGTTCGAACTAATTAACAAGGTTAAAGACATTTACAATTCCTCCTAGGGCAATTCTAGTTCCATTTAACGTCCAAACTCTACTTCCTATCACTTCACCAATTGACGTAATAAACATAACAGACAATATTCTCACTCAGAGACAAATCAACCCTATCATAGAACAAAACTTGCTAGATAGCTTAATAGTTTGTTTAGACCAAAATTATTTTGGATCTAATAGTCAATTTTATATTATATTATTATGGGAAACCCACTTAGTCCACTCCTTGCAGAAATTTCCTGTGAGTAAAGGATTTCTCTAGCGGTATAGATACGTAGATGATGTTTTTGCTTGTTTCACTGGAACCTAAAGACCTCTGCAGTCCTTGTTTCATCATATTAACTCCATACATAGCCGTATAAATTTTACCATAAACTTAACAATAACTAAACTCACACTCAATAATTCATAATAACTCGAATCGCCCTTACACACCCAAAATGGCTGCTTTTATCCACAGACTACTTAATATAGCACTTTCTGCAGAAAATTTTAAAACAATTAAATATTATAAAACAAATAACTGTGAACAATGGTTACCCCTTTTTGACAGATAAGATTAGAACTAAAAAGAAGTTTCAAATAACTCTGAAAAATGTATATCCGACAATCAGGTAGAACATTTAAGAAATGCATTAACGAACATAAAAAGGCGTATAAAAATAAAAGTTCGGATTCTAACTATGCCATTCCTTTAAATTCAGAAATACACGTGTTTAACGATAATTTTGATATTTTACATATGAAACAAAAAGCAGAAAACTAAATTTGTTGGATGCTATGGAAATTAATAAAATGAGATATTCGAATCTCTTAGATAATGACCAATTTGATTTAAATGCGTCTTCGTTTTCATATTTAAATTTATAACCCTACACCCGTCAATAAAAACCTATTACTACCTGTTTATACATATAGGTATCCGGATATTGTATTTGATAAAGTTACGGTGTTGCCGAAACAGCTGTCATAAAGTAATAAATAACTGTGAAAATCTAAACATTTTTTGTTCTATTTTAAATTATGTTAATATTAAAACATTAAAAGTAAAAGCCACCAAAGACGAAACTGTCGCTTCTGTAATAACGTTATCCACCCACTTTAAAGAGTGGTTTATTATTTGTCGTCGTGTCAGATGAATTAATGTTTCATTTAGCAAGTTTGAACTTTAACTCACCGGCGTTCCTTCGCGTCGGGCAAAGCCATGTTAAGAGCGCTGGCGGTATTGGAACACTTCTTATAACGTTCGAGTGAGCTGTTGATCAATGTGTGCGCGAGATCGTGAGCAAAGTCTGGCGAACCTTCTGTGCTTGGGCGTTCAGTTAACTCTAGGCTGTCCTTTAAGTGCACCGACCAATTTTTCAACACTGGTTCCGATGTATTTGAGTACGCCTGTGATGTAAACAACACGTCGGTGGTTACCAGAGCTTCATAATAGCTCAAAGCCATCTCCAAACTTCCTAAGGGCATCGCTTCGTCGCCACTGACAGACTTGTAGCCGCCTGGATCAGTTCTGCGCCTGGAAGCGTCGGACAAACTCAATAGATTCGCCGCGTTCCAATACAAAGTGCCCAAATTGAAGTGATAAGGCACGTTGTAGTTACAGTTTTCTCTAAAAATATCAAAACTACCGAGCAGGTTTCCGTGGACGAAGCAACGCTTGCCGCTCCCAGCATTTCCTAAGGTCACCACCAGCTCTTCATCCGTAATCCTGTTTTCGAGGTTAGAAAAACAATCGTCGCCGTTTACGAGCGGCAAAGATGCTACCCGGTTTAATTGACCCCCGCTTTGCACCCAAAACTGCAGCTGCAGCAGCGTCTTTCTAACGTCACCCTTGTTGTATTCCAAAAGAGAACCGATGTCGCCCCTATCGACCAGAAGACCCTCTACCAGACAAACTATCTGTAACCACACCGACAGGGTGGTCAATCCAAAAGGCGCGAATAATACGAACTCGTGCTGGACGAGCAGCTTCTGGACGTGAACTGGACTCGTATCATTGGTAGTCGCTATGATCGGCCTCTTACTTGTACCAATTAATTGATTTAGTGAGGTTAGAAAACCGTCATCCTGGTCGAACACCAAATCTATATCTTCAACTAGCAAAATGCACAGCTTTTTATGTCTACTCTCATGACCCTGCGCTTTTTCCGACTTGCCCCCTTTTAGCGCCGCCGCAATATCATTTTTCCTCACTTGGTGAGACTGAGTGGCTTCTTGCAATTCTTGAACAAGTCTTTTACCTGAAACAATTATTTTCTCTTTGTTCTTGTATTTAGTAAACATATATTTAAACAATGAAAGAGTAAGTAAAGATACTTTTTACATTTCGCGGATAAGGCCGCCATTTTGTCATTGTTCTTGGGGGACGACAGCACAAAATATGATAGAGAAAAACACTCTATAACAGTGAAATAGTGACGTCACTACCGAGTTACCTAAATATCTCAGACCATTTAAACTTTGCAAGCCAGAAATGTTTGTGGCTTTATTTATTAAAAATGAAATTTTGGCAGTTAAGTATTTCAGAAAATTAAAGTAGGTCTTGAGGGCAGTAGTAAGTAACCAACTTTAACAAGACAGCGACGGCATTACAAAAAATGAGTTAATAAAAAACAGCTGTACTCACGCCATTAGAAAAGCTACAAAGGTAACCTAACCTGTTCTTTTAGTACTGGCGTTGACCTCCAACACATTAAACCCGAATTCGTTAGCCAAGGCGTAGATGGCGCTCGTTTTTCCAGAACCACAGGGACCTCCGACGATCATAGTGTTCCCTGGCAAATCAGTACTGGCCCTACTGTCACAATCCGTTGATTCAAACTCAGATTCGCTATCAGAATTACCCCTTTTAAGTCTCTTTCTCAAGTTGATTTCGTCGCTGTAGTTCGCCCAACTCGCCAAAAAACGTCTGAGAGCAGCTACACCTTTATGGTTGCCGAAAATATCATCGGAGGTGCGTGGTTTGTACTTGTCAGTCCACATTTCGTAATCCTTACAAAATTGAAACTCACGACGATCGCAGGACTTGCGAGAACGTCTTCTGGAAGATTTTTTATCAGATTTAACCTCGGCACCAGCCTTACCGCTCCTCTCATAAATTTGTCTGAAAGCTTTGAAAACCGGATAATTAGGATTCTCTTGCTTTATTTTGTTTATGATCGAGTGTAAATCTTTAACTCTATCGACCATTTTGGTCAACTTTGCCGGTTTTGAACTCTTAGATATCAAACCGCTGCAACTTAAAATTGGAGTGCAGAAGTCTGTATCACCCAGATAAGACACTTTGGTAATGTTACTTGGCAAATTCCAAAAACTGTGATTGCATTTTTGCTGCACGTGACTAGTTCTGGGAAACATTTCAAAACTTTTTTCTTCAAAGCTAAAAGTGACTCACTATTCAAGTACAAAAACATAATATTATAAGCTAACACTTACTTCTTTCTCCTTTCAATAGTTCTCTTTAAGGCATCTGGGACTCCACTAAGCAAGAACTGCTTTTTGGCTTCTTCAAACTTTTCATCTACTTTTGGTTTTGGAGTACTCTTAAGAAAAATTGGGGCCACTTTTTTTGAGATTACTGTATCTGGAATGCTGCTTTCTTCACCACTGTCACTTGACAAAACAATTTCTTCCTCTTCGATATTAATAATTTTTTCAGTGTGATTTTTGATTTTATCATTTTTCTCATTGGCGTTCAATCTGATCTTCATTTTCCAGTTCCTTAGATTTTTAAGAGTCTGTGAATCCTGACTAGATTCATCAGTCTCAAATTTTTGAAAAAAGCTGTTTAAACTCTTCTGGCTTTCATTCGAATTCTGAATGGTAGTTAGATCAGTACAATCTTGAGCATTCTCTTCAATTATCTGCAAGAATCGGTTGCTTTTGGTCTTTTCATCTGATTGGGAAGAATTACTTGCTTCAGAGTCTGTAGAGCTTAATTTCCTAGTTCTTTTTTTATGCCTTCTTACTCCTTTATCCAATTCCTCACCTTTATCGGCTATATGGAGCATCTTTTTCAATTTTTTTGCCCTCTTTTCCAAAATTCCATTTATATGTTTGTCAATTTCCAGTTCTTTTCTTTTCCTCTTCGATGCACCTTTCTGTTCAGCCCAGTTTTCAAATACATTCTTCCTAGACTCCAGCTTTTTTCTTTCTTCCAGCATATTTGGTGATTTTTCTTTATGCTCAACCACTTTACCGCCAGAATTTTGCCCGATGATGTTATTTCTGCTATCCATTAATATATAAAAAGCATTCACTTTGGATTTACAGGAGGTCTCATGATTTTCCAACAACTCAATCTTTCCCTCCGATAAAGTTAAGGAACTCTGCTCCGTGTTTTCCTGTGGTGGGGACAATAAGTCGGCATTTTCGTTCTTGTTGTGGGACTGATTTTGTTTCTTATGCATTTTTGGTTGAACAGAGATGTCATGGCAATTGGTAGACCTAGGAGATCCGAAATAATCGGAAATATCCTTCATTATTGCGGTTTGTGCAAAAAAAAAAATGTGAGGTACTTAAATCAATCGTCTACGATCCTTTGGCAGCATCTCTTTTATTAAACACAATTTCAAAATAAAAACACAAATTCTAACCTATAAACCGGATAAACGTCACATTTGGGCGCTAAGAATTGTTGCTTGGACCATAAATGTATTGGGCAATTTTACGGAGCTTATTCGCCCATGTGCTCATAAGCACAACAACAAAACATTTCATCGATAAGTATTCGAGACTGTACTATGACTTCTCTAAAGTATTTTTACCATGAAAATTTTGTGGGAAACATTGCACCTGATAGAATGTACCTAATCCGCTGAAATCAGTTAAGTTGATTTGTTACCTATATGCTTTAATTTGTAATTGCTGTGCGCCTAGTGTTTGTATGAGTGTAAATTCGTGTCGCACGATTCAAGTTGGAACCAGACCTTAATTGCATGTAATAAGAACTCATATATGTCGGTTTATGATCGAAATAAAAAAAAACCCTCGGCAAGTAGTAGTAATGGGCCAGTGTCTTTACTCGGCTTGCGCAATGTTATAAAAAAGTCATACCATGGTGCGAACAAGTTCAGTTATTTACCAACTGAATTAGCGAAACGCATTATTGAATTAAAGTTCAGTTATTTTGAGGTTACGTTTATGAGATTTGAAATTTAGAAATGATTAAGTTGCATTTTGAAAAGGGAGCAATATTCGTTTTCGATGTGGATGACTGGTGCGAAATCAGAAATACGCACAGAATAGTAGGCCAAGTCGTGGGCAGCACTTCATTTATTCCTTCACTTCCTTTGAAATTACTACCAGAAGAGGCATTTTTGTTGCTGAACAAAAATATTGCTACTTTACAAGAGATTCGTTATATGAAGAGAGATAGAGAAAGATTTAAAATTTTCGAGCAAAAACTCTTGGAACAGCAACAAATTGAATACAAACAGGTTAGGAAAGTGCAACTGGAATCGCTTATAGATAAGATAGTGCAGAACAGAAGAAAAATAGGCGACCTTCGTTCGAAAGAAGAAATTTTCGAGGAGGAGCTCGAAAAGTCCAGTCAAATCAACAGAGACAATATGATATGGCCAATATTTTTAAAACGAGATGGCGAATCCGAAAGCCAATCGCTGAGCGCCGAAGTAGTGTGCAAATTCACTTCAGACCTTAAAATAAAAGTGTTTAGGGATTTGTGGGAACGGGGCTATTACATAACAAACGGGGAAAAGTTCGGCGGAGACTTTTTGGTGTATTTTGGGGACCCGCTTGTGTATCACGCAGTATTTATTGTGAGGTGTATTGAACGAGAAAAATTATTAACTCCTGCAAATTTAGTGGGTTTCGGTAGATTGGGCGTTTCGGTAAAAAAGAGGGCCGTTTTAGCTAGTATCAGTGAAAACCAGGTGCGTTACTTGACGATAAACTGGATAGACGCCTGAAACCTTTATTTTAATCGGTACATTTTAAATTAGAAGTCGCAACACGACGTTGACCTTGCGAGGGTGCAGAACACGGACGTCCAATTGAACACCATAAACAGGGACATGACCAGGCCGCACTTTTTAAAATCGACGCCATCGACAAACACTTTCGTAAGAAATATTATCACCTCCAACGTGATTATGAGCGAGTACAGCGCTAAATAGGGCATGTAAAAGACGGGATTGTTCTGAAAAATTGTAAGCTGAGATATTGCCTGAACGGCCATGTCAAGCGATAATTCCAATTCTTTAATCCGCATGTGCACTCCTGTCAGATCATTCTGGCCGATCACCATTTGTCGTTATATTGCGTTTCTTAATGCGAGGGAGTAATAAAATATAAACTTGCGAAGAAAGGAACCATTAAACAGGGTGGACAACTTAATGGTTATATCCGAAAGTTCAGATACATTGCAATGACAGTTTACGACGAATTCTGCATTTTAGTTTTTAAGATGTAGGTCTTTTAGGGTCTCACTAATTTGTATACAATAGAAAGACGAGTTTGAAAATGAAAGTAATGAAAGTAAAGGCGGCGTTACTAGAGGTACATTTTTTTTTTTCAAAGAAACTTCTACATTCTACTGTTTCGCCAATCATCTTTCAGAGCTTAACTGAAACTCTTAGTTAAGCTTGGAGAAGCCAACGGGATGATTGGCGAAACTTGGCAAGTTCGGCTCAACAACGACCGACGCAGGAGACATATAGAACTTTTGTAAATAGGTAGTTTATTAGCAAAATAATAATAATATGACAATAGATACATAATAATAAATATTATTTAAAAAAATCTGCTATTTACAATACAACTTCATTTGTCAATCATCATCATCATTTTATTAGTAGTAGATGAACTATAGTCGTTGGAGTCCAGCGAAATAATTAGGGGCTTTACAGTGTTTTCTATCATGTTATCAGCTCCCCCATTCTTCTATTTTAATCGCATGCTCGACACACTCCATTTTTCACAATACACTGACTTTATTCCCTCTGATAGGAAGATTTCAACATCCCTCAATTTAAAAGTGTTTTCTCTATTCTTTGTCTATTAAAAGTTGCTTTCGGTTCTGTGTTTTTTTGTAACCAAAATTTATATTTATATGTCCATGGGTAGAATGAAATAATCCTTACGTTACGTCTACTATAAAATATTATGCAAGGCAAGATAGCAGGTAGGCGAGCTTCAGGCAGAACAAAGACATCCTCGATGAAAAATCTCCCGAGACTGGTATGGGGTGAATTTCAGTTAAATATTTATACTAGTATGCGATAAGATGGACAATTATAGTTACCAACGTTTTGAAAGGACATTGTACTTAAGAAGAAAAATATATTTCTCTTGTTAAGTAAACTTCATTATTCTTTTCATGGCAGTCTTTTAATCCTCCTTTATTAATATCTTTTCTTCCTGTAATTCTCTTTGGTGACCTGGTGAACAGCTCGTTATATTGTTGACTGTCCAACTCCAGTCATATTCGAACACGTTTAAATTATTTTCGCAACTCCGAATATTGAGTTTTGGTAGCGAACACTTAGAGAATAGTAATTTTCTCATTTTTATAAACCGCAGTTTTATTAATTCGTTTATCACCAAAAAATTTTGAAACGCTAGCCATTTTCAAGAACGAACTTCGCCAAAAACTGCCGGAAAATAACTTATGGTGGAAAGAAATCATCCTTATTCATTTCAGACCTTATTTAGCCCAAGGTGGACAATTCTTTTTTTTTTAAGTAAAACAAGTAGCAGTCTTTTCGTCCTCATTTATTACAGTTTTTCTTTCTTTGGTGACGTGCACACCTCGGTACATTGTTGACTGTAGAACTCAAGTCATTTTTGAACATATTTGAGCATTGAACACCGAATCCGTATCTCAACAACAATAACGAACTTTGCCAACAACTACCGGAAAGTAACTATAATTCTAATTTTAAACACTAAGGCTACTTGGCTACGACTACTTGTCCGTCTATCTGCCACTCTCGGGACCTTGACAATCAACATTGGTAGAACAAGACGACTAGAGTTTTACAGTTCAATAATGATTTATAACTCACTCGCATTAAGAAATCGAACACAGTATAAATTCCCAACACCGGGGTTGTACCTGAGAAACCTCGCTGGTAAAGACTGTTGATATATGAATTTCCGTTTACGTTAAAGGATAAACAAGCGAGTTCCACTTGTCAATTCTTGTAGAAGGAACACGTTTTACAATTTAACAACTGTCACATCGAATTTATATAATAATAATTATTAATTAATTAAAATAAATTTTTCAAAGAAAGTTCCACAGGCTACTGTAATACTTTTTACAAAACTTTTGGATTCCTCCTGCTTCGGTTTTTGTTGACTCGAACTAGTTAACGTTTCGCCAGTCGTCCTGTTGGCTTTCTTGATCATGAACGCAAATGAATATCAGGAAAAGATTCAAGATATTCTTACAGACGGATCATATCTTCAACTTAAAAAAGATCCTACGTCATCTACGAAACGCAGACTCCGTGAAAAAATCTGTCAGCCCTCGTGAGTCTAAAATTCCTCGTCTCTACGGACATCCAAAGATTCACAAACCAGTATTACCCCTTCGACCTATTGTCAGCACAATTGGTTCTCAAACATATTCTCTAGCAAAATATCAAGCTTCCTTAATAAAACTGACAGTTTCGTACTTAATTCCTTTCACTTCATTGAACAATTAAAAAGCATTACATTAGACACATAAGATATTCTGGTTAGTTTCGACGTAGAATTCCTCTTTACTAAAGTTCCTATTCCTGAACCTCTCACCATCATTTCATATATTAAAATCCGAGAATCTGGAACCAAACCTCGTCACCTTAATTGAAAAATGCTTGTCTGTAACTCTCTCGATGTTTTGCTGATCTATATGTAGGAATACATCGGCGTATGGCTGGCGACTGAATACCATAAATTTTGTTCTAGCGACATTCATTTTTAGACCCATGTTCCGTCCTGTCGTCCTATAAGCAACCTAACAATCCTAACCCCGACTCAGATCTCTACGTGTCCCCAATATGGGAATCAGTCATCCGAGACGGTGTTTATGCCCCTCATTTAGCTCCGCCCCCTCAAGCAATATATTAGTAGGTGCAGAGTAAAATGCGAGCCAGTTTCAGTCAAGCTCTGAAGAAAACAACAGGATGATTGGCGAAACGTTAGCTAGTTCGACTCAACAAAAACCGATGCAGGAGGAATCCAAAAGTTTTGTAAAAAGTATCAAAAATAAAGTAAACAACTCAATTTCGCTGGATTACATTTCGCTTGACAGGGCCCGCGCGTGCTTACAGCTAAAAAGCCTTACCGTAACGAGACCGACTAGAAGAAAAAGGTAGTACTCGGTGGATATGACCAGCGATATCATTTTGCAATCGCGTTCCACCTCTGGCGATATAAACTGACCGTTTTTAATCCGTTCCCTCCATAAGTAACCAGGCAAAATCGACCCGCACCGTATTATCCTTATTATGTCAAATATACTCAAAACCTACGTATATATACTCGTTGATATTTGCGGCGTTTATGTTCCCGCACACTTACCACCCCGATGATGCCCAACGCGCCCACGTAAACAGGAACAAACCCAAAAATCGGATGCGAGCAAATTTTATTGATGTGCATCTTGTTCTTGGTCAGCACAGGTCCCAACACGCTATGGAACGGAATTTTCATGTTCCTGGCGGCCAACGCGAACATATTTTAAATTTGGACGGCCGCGTTCTTCGAGTTCCATGAAAAATTTTTCCAAAGTGAAAAAATACAACTCGACCGTCGAACGTCTGAAACGTCACTCGCGGCGACCGTCAAACTCGGCCCGGTCAAAATTTTTGTTAAACTCGCGCGAAATCGAAAATGAGCGGCGCTAAAGCCGAACCGTATCAAAAACCCGACCCGCACGATACGCCGACTTTGTTGCTGACGTCGTTGTGGCTGTTCTCGGCGATAAACTCGGCCGCGAAGGTCGAGTTCTTCACCAACATGACGGGTAAGGTGTCCGAGGTACGAGTCGAGGAACTTTTGAGTCGTTGAGACGATTTTTCAGGCGTCGCCGTCACTTTTAACATGCAGGACGTCCTTTTGATCGCCTTCACGTCATGGATGTTACACAGGGGATTATCAACAGTAAGAACATCATTTAAACATACAATACATTCAAGTTATAGCTGAAAATCGAGACTTGCGATCTGATACTGATGTTGTCTATCCTTCTAATCAATTTGTTTTCATCTTATCTAAAAGATCGGCGCCAGTTTGTTATATATCCGGTGTTACCTATATTATTATGTGGAATATTTTGAGCTTACCTCCTAACTAACAACACCGCTAATAAGCAGCACGAACACAAAACTTTTAAGTCTTTGTTTAACGTTAAAAATACTTTTTTTCTCAGTTCTCGCCACTCAAGCAATTTTAAAGTATTTGTTAAAGTTTAAAAACACTGTTTTGTCCATGTTTTTTTTGCAGAAATACAATTAACGCAAACATAAGCGCACAACTCACTAGTTTAAATTATTTTAATTGTTCAAAGAACACAAAATACAACGGTTTAATACGCCTTCAAATCCATTGATAGAATACACAAAAACCGTTAGAGGACTTCGCTTACGTCACAACCGATCACGTGCGATCGATAATTTTGGCGAACGTATGTCTTATGGGATTGGGCAATCCTATTAGGTTTACGATTCTTGGTTAAATCCCATCCCTTAAAAGGAATATCAGATATGATTAATCAAATCAATGACATCGTACTTCAGCGTCCAGCTACTTTTGTTGGTCTAGGTGTCACTTTTGACCCAAAACCTTCTTTTATTCCACATATTGACTCCCCTGTGTCTGCCGCGAATAAAATGTACGAGTTTATAGCACGGAACTCTCGAGACTTAACAGTCCATTCAAGGAAGTTGGAATCGGTACAACGAAAATTTTTGAAATTCTTGTCTTTCAGGCATTATAATAAATATCTCCCAATTGATAGAAGCAATACTTCGCTTCGTAATAGGCATAACTCATTCGGTGGTATACAAAATTATTCATAATCAGGTTGTTGATCCGGGTCTCTTATTAAATTAAACTTTGGTGTTTTCAGGGTTACCTCAAGAGTAGATCAAACCTTTTACCTTTTTGCGCCGCGTACAAATATTTCTCTCCTTTCCACAGAATGTTCTGTCCAACCCGGCAATTTTCCAGCTTGGTATATTTTCTTCTTCTGTACGTGACGTTAAAACATGTTTTTTTAAGGAATGGCATATAATTTTTTTTTATTTTACGTTGTATTAGCATTTTGCTGTCCTTTTGTATTTTGTTTTTAATTTGTCACTTATGTCCCTGTTCTGTAGTTGGGTTTATCCTGTTGAACAGCGTATCTAAATAAATTAATAAATAAAAAACACTGCACCATCAAAAATAAAAACAAGTAATAACTTATATGAAACTAACCTTTTCATCGTACAGCACAAACAAAAATCGCAGGTGATGAGATGGTGGTTTTAATGGACAAAATGAAGCCACTTGGTGCATGTCCAATTGGACACATTACAAAGCCCTGGAACGCTGAAGTATGAGTCATCACATTAAGGAAGCGATATATCTGGTTGCATATGGACTTTATAATATCAAATATCGGTGAAAGAGGATAAAATATAGTACAAATATATAGAATAGGTCAAAATGGTCTAGAAATTCATACAGAGGTGGTGCATAGATATTTTTATTTATTAATCCATCATATTTTTGATACCAAAATTATTTTACTAGGATTAAATAATATACAATTAAATTTTAAGAAGCATTTCCAGACCTTTTTAAATGTGGCGTTGTTTTCACAGGCACCTATTAAGAATAATTACAGAAAACTAAATAATACTTTTCGTGCCGTTGGCAGTAAAACAGGAGTACCGAACCAGCAGCATATTACAATTACATACTTACAATTCCCCTTACAGTTCATAACACAGCAAGCGTTTATTAGAATATATACCCAAAGATAGAAACACACTAAACACGATGTTTTATAATTATGAAAGACACAATCTTTAGTTTAAATATTTAGGTATTATCTCGCACACATAAAAGAGACTGGTATTCTAACTATAACTATTCACACGTTTTTCAGTATCAAATGCCTCAATCAAAACGTTTAAACGAACATATAACCTTAGAGCGACCGGCATTTATTCTCGTTTTCGTAATAACTCACCTCACCTGTCATTTCACCGCTTTCACCGTTTGAGTTGTTTCCGCCGAAACAACTGCGCCGTCATGAATAAAAACAAACAATAAAACTAGTCTGAAACTATCCATTTGTCACACTGCACAAACAACAAAATATCACAGATGAGCGGACGAGTGATTTTAATGGACCAATGAAAAAGATGCACTTGACGCATGTCCGTTCGGTTCAAGTTCCAATTATTTCCGTATCGTAGTACCACCCGACGGAGGATTAGGCAGTTTAGCCAACGTGCAAAAAAAATCGGCATGAGTAACGTAACCGTTCAGATGTAGGCAAAGGATCGGTAAATCTCGAAATCAGCTTTTAGATTTACTCTCTCGTGTGTGCCGCCATGAAAATTTTTGCCCTTTTTATCATTTCAGAGGAATGTCGCCCTCATAGTCCCGTGGCTCGTGTTCACCCTATACGGTATTTACTACAACCAGTACAAAAGTCTCGTGCAGATGTTGTCGATACTGCGGTCGATACGTCACGTCTCGTCGTTGGCGTGGATAGCGATCGGCATATCGTTTTTGGGACTTGGTATACGCTCCGACCGGTGAAGATTGGTTTTGCGACGTGTGCATTCGTTTCAGTTTTGCGCGCCATTTTAGCGGTCAGGACATTGCAACTGTCGACCAACCTGTGGTACCGGAAAAAGTTGGAAAAGGAACTGCTCAATTGACTGGTTCGTCGAGTGAGTAGGTGTGGTCGTAAAAAAATCATCAGGAAAAACTCGTCTTATTTATAACCGAACCCATTTTAACATAGGGTTCGCAAAAGATACCCGAAGAACTCGAAAATCAATGTTGGTGTATTCTGTTTTTATTTCATGTTTTGTTAATCGACGCGATGTCAAACTGTGAATAAATTTCGAATTGGATTTGAGAATTTAATCATGTATTTTTTTGGGATTGCGATTTTTGAAGTTTTGACAGTCGGTGATGCCTTTTCAGCTTCTCGGGCAATGAGGCGTTAACGAGATGAATATCTTTTCCATCAACTGCGCATGCACCTACATGACGACATAAGCTTATTTTAAATTCGGTTTTGTTTTGAATTTCTTAATCTTTCCGAATCTGATATATTTTCATCCAAATTGATTGAATATGGCGGTGTTGGTCGAATGTAGTCTGGCTTAAGTTTAACGGAGTCTTGAGAAGTCATTATCGGAGCACAAACAAGTATAAAAACTTCGGCAATGGGCGAATGATCCAGGTAGTCGTGCCCAACAGCTATCTGTGAAACGCATCATTGAATTGAATTGAAGTATAAAAACTGCTTTTACATCAAACTTCAATTTGGTTCAGAAGAATTCATTTAATTGGTCTTTAAAAATGACAGTAGCGAATATATTGTTACTAAACAATCGGAAAAAATAATGTTTTGCCATTCTACAAAATCTCATCAGCAAAATAATAATAATATATATTACTAGTTGTATGTCAATAAGGAGAGCATAAAGTAAAAACTAAAAAGTAATATTTTTATATTATAAATGTTGCAAAAGATTGTTTGTTAAGATTTAAACAATGAGCAACTAGATCTCTGGTTACAGCAAACTAAAATTTGCCTGACTCCATAGATGATGAAAATAGAAATTCATTTCTGATAAAGGCTGAAGATATGAAACAATATCACAAATCGGACGTAGTTTGAATCAACTAAGAGTAAAGGTAGCCAAAAAATCTTTTAACGAGGAATTTAAAATATTGTTAATTCAGATGTAGGCGAGTAAAATACTGTAGAAATGACCATCAGTATCGACTTTGTTGTGAAAGTGAGCGTTTTAAATTAACTTAACAACCTACATACAATAAGCAAAATAATGTATCTAACCCAAAATAACATTTATTTGTTTTCATGTATATTAATTGAATACAGAAATGCACAAATTAGAATATTCGTACAAGTACCCCCTCGTATAAATTTATTATAAAAGTTGACTGATGTCTCCGACCGATCCTCGTAGTGAAGAAATCGTTTGCACAGATGTCTCCGACCGATCCTCGTAGTGAAGAAATCGTTTGCACAGATGGTATATTCCTCTAGTTATCGTATTATCTCGAAGAAGTGATTTGTGTGTGTAAAAAGCGACGATAGTTTTGCCCTGTCACAAGAAATTTTACGCGTGCGCGTTTATTTTGGAATTAATACATCCATCACTTAAGATCTGTCTCAATAGACAAGTGCCCATTACGTCAGATGCGCAGAAGACGAATTTGAAACGGCAAGCAGCTGTCGTCCGAAAATGCGGCCACCATTGGCGTGGATCAAATCGTTCCGGTTGTTTACTTTCCGTGGCTGTGTTCAGTCGGTGCTTATATTTCGTCTATTTTATAGACTATTATTTTCGTTTTGGTTGTTTGTTAAGGTAAGGTGTTTCAATGAAATAATACAACAACGGTACAACTTTAATGTAATAAATTTAATAAGCCAGATGGCGACCATATTTGCTAAATTTCACAAAGATTTAATTATTAGCAGTAGTATACACGTTTTGCATAAAATTAGGACGTAAACATAATATGTTTTTCTTTATAAATCAATTTAAAACATAAGCCGGAACCAGTGCTTCAAGCAATTTGTAATTTTGTCACAGTTTTTTTTTAAATTAAATTTAAGTACTAACGAAACTTGAAAGGAAGGGACAAGTGGTCCATAGTCCCTATCCCTTTTATTTTATGCATATGGAAACAGACTTTAAAATATCACAGGTAAATAATTTTGTTTCTTTATGTCAGATGTAATTAAAACAAACATCCATCTCTCTTAAAATTTGTTGGCTTAAAATAATAGATGTATACTTTTTAGAGAACATACTTTGGCAGCTACAAAGGTTTCCCTCTCTATCCTCAAAAGGATTTTAAAAGAAACGTCAAAGGTTGCAGACAACTCCAGTTGCTCATACAGCACTCCACAAAAAAAAACCGACGGAGGGTTTCTAGAAAACTTGACTTAGCAACTCCTAGTCAAATAAAATATATCAGGGAACTGGTGTATAATTTTTATATAGTGGAGAAAAAGAGACTTTAAATGTATGACATGAAATTTGCTATGCTTGAATGCTTAAAGCTGATTTAATTGTTTAAGTTTTTCATAAAAATAAAGAAGATTATGCAAATTATTAGCTGTACTCCTTTACCCAAAATTTCCAGTTATAGCGAACTAAAGCTTAACACAATGGACTAGAATAATAAACATTATGGGTATTAAAAGTCTGGTGAAAGCACCAGACATTGAACAATAAAATACACGTAATTGAAATAACTGCCGCCACTGCACGATACAGAACGCAATAACGCGAGGAGATATCGCGCTTATTTCGCGCATCGAAGAATGACGTCACTGGGCTCTTCTCTATTGAGGCAAACTACCTGTATTGACGCTCGTAAAATAAAAAAAAAGACCAAAACCTCAGTCCTTTTATTTGACACAAAAAACACTCCTATATAGGGTACAAAATAAATAAACTCCCACGTCCCCGCTTGCGCGGTAGGGATCGAACAAAAAACAATTTGACAGAACCCGAAACGTCATTTTTGACGTCTGTCAAAACGATCAGCGCGGGGTTGGGCGTTTCACGACATCGACGGCTGTTTCGCCGCGGTCTGATCCTCGGGATCGTCTTCCGCCTTGCGTTTCCGTTTGACGAGGTGCGAGATGTCCGACGCCGGACGGGACGTCGCCGACGCCTGCCCGGCGGGCGCCGCCGATCTCGTTACCTCCCTCACGGCCTCGCTGATTTTTTTAATCGCCTGAAATACAACGAGAGGCGCGAATGAAACCCAACTTCCACGTGGGGTGAATCAGTTTTATTACAAAAATAAAAAAATACATGGCAGAAAAATTAACGGATTATTTGGCGTCGTCGTCGTCGGATTTCAGTTTCCTCCTAACCTCCAGCCTGTTAACTTCGGAGTTATTTACCGACGCCAGTTTCAATTTTGACCTCATCTGTGCGATAACATCTTGGCAAACACATACCTCATCCTTGCAGTTCTTCATGTCCGCCACCTTCTCTTCGATGTCCGGGATCAGGCCCTCGATTTCCTCCACCTCCTCCTTCTGGGCGTCCGTATTCGGCTTTACCTAAAATGGCGACGCTTTACCGGATTCGGGGGACGACGCAGTGGTTCATGACGCTCATACCTTCTGCAAGCTACTGATCCTGTTGCGCAGGTACTGCAACGAATTCTGGAAACTCTCGATTGCCTCGTCGAACTGGGTGTTGGTCGAGTAAGCCACGCCCAATTTGTAATAAGTCTCCGCGACGACTCTGCTGTCGTCGCCGAACAGCTGCTTCTGGATCTCCAAACCTTCAAAAAAAAAAAAACACTTTTTTTTTGAATTTTTAATACTAACCCAAAACGAAAAAACAAAGAATATTAACACACAGCATAAGTTTGAAATCCTTTAAATTTTAAGACTACATTTAAATGGGTTTAAATAGAGAATGGACTCATCAATTTTTAAATTAAACATTACATTATTATTTTTTATGAAATCTGAAGACAGAACTTAATTTCAAGAACTAGTCTCAGCATCTAATAGGTTTAATAACTACTTAGATTCTTTCACTGAAATAGCTATATATAAAAAGAACGATCGAGACAAAATAGACAGTTGTAGGACCTTGCTCTGTTTTTCTCTAAAATTTATAGAAAAAGCTTAATTACACCAAAGTTATTGAGTTTGTTATTAAGTTTCATAACTGATTTAAGGGGCAGTTCAGTTTCCAAAAGGGGCCAGCCTACACAGGACTCTATCATAAACATAGTAAACTTTATCATTCTGAAATTGGATGAAAAGCATAAAGCTACTGGCTTGTTTTTTGATTTCTCACGAGCAAATGGTTAATAATTAAATCTTAAAGTGGAAATTTATTAAATGTGGAGTGAGGGGTAGGCGTTATAGTTGTAGTTATAGACTCTATGAGAGGGGCGACACTCAAGAGTGGCGTGTAATTGAAAAAAGTGTTCCACATAATCCCCTGAATATATTGGTCAAGCTATCATTATGTGCAGATGATATCGCTCTTGTGACAAATTCTGATATTCATCAGTTGAATGGTTCCACATCTGATTGTGCAAAGATGCAGTCCATCCGTGATGAGAATGGCCTAGTTTTGAAGTTCTTTTCTCTTATAGACAACCGGATAGGAGTATTTTTATAACCTCAGACAGTGGTTTTATTCAGCAGAGTAAAGTAGTAAAATTTTTGGGTAAAAATTTAGATTTTAACCTATTTTGGGAGAGCCATGTCATATCTGTAACTAACAAAATGAATAAGTACTGTTTTTTCCAGTGAGAAATTAAATAGATAGGTTATGGTATCCTTTTATTATGTACATGTTAACTCCACACTATCATATGGTCTCATAGGATTGTGTTCACAGTGTTCACATAATGATTGCCCAAAAAAGAATTGTTTAAAAATAATACCTTATCGTTTACAGCTTTTTTTCAGGGAGCTAAAGGTACTTACTGTGATTTCATTAATTGTTTAGCATTGTGCCATTTATGTAAGAAAAACTTTACAAGACTTTTTAACATCTGCTAAAGTTTACAGTTATATTACTAGAACACTCATACTATAAGAAGCAGCTACGTAATGTCTATTAAAATTTATAATCACTTGCCAGACTCCATTACCAACGAAAGCAAATTTAAAAACTCACTACAAAAATTATTAGAAAATAAAACAATATACTCCTTTCAGGAGAATGTGTGTGCTGAGCGAATGTATAAGTGAGGGAAATTTTATATTTTCTCTAATTACGTATTGTGTTTGTTTTTAATTATTTGTAGATCTTTTTGACGAAACCTATGTATCTTTTTTGGGTGCAAATATGTTGGAAATGTTGGACTCAGCCGCGAATCCCGCGGTACTCTGATTAAATATCCAGAATATTCAAAATTTTCTTTCTAGTATCACAATATTTTGAATGGGCTCCCCCACCTACCTTGTTTCATGTCATTAATGGCGGAGTCGTAGATTTCGCTTTCCAATGACACCTCGCCCAGCACGACCAACGTGTCTGCGAGGTTCTTGCTGGAGCTTTCGCCCTGCCGCTGGTAGATCTTGCGAGCGAGTTCGAGCACCTCCCAAGCGACCTGCAGGTCGGTGGGCTCGTCGTCGCCCTTGCCGTCGTCGGTCGAGTCCCCCTTGCTGGTACTAGCTTCGTCGCCGGTACCATTTCGTTCGTTACTGCTCTCCTCTTCCTTTTCTTCTTGCTTCGCAGCTTCCCCTTCTTTGGAGGCCTCCTCGTCCTCGTCCTCCGCCGAGCTGGCCTTACCCTCGTCCTCGTCGGATTCTTCGACGTTTCGGGGCACCGCGTCGCCGAGGGCTTCGTTCTGTTGTCGCGAAAGCCCCAGCAGGGATTTGCCGTAATACGTGTAGACTTCGGCGAGTTCTTCGTGCTGATCGTTGCTGTGTTCCGCGACCATCAGTTCGGAAGCTCGGCTCAGGGCGACGACGGCCGCTTCGTAGTCCTGCAGATAGAACGCCCTGATACCCTGGGCGAGCAGTTCCTTCGAGTCGGTGCTCTCCGAGTCCACGATCACGTCCGCCATCTAGAAAATTGAAATTCGAAATACGCTCCGACACGAAAGAAACGGCGAATAAAGAAAAAAACGCAGCGCAAAAAAAGGCGCGCAAAAAAAAAGAGAGGCGGACGCCAGTTTGCCAAAGCTTTTTTTGTTAGGAGGCTGCACATGATCGGGGACCACGAAGATTAAAACGCACGATACAGTTTAATAAATTAATACTTGGATGATATGCTTGTACCAAAAAAGGGCGAAAAAAATTAATTTTCATGACACGAAAAGTTTAAACCGTCTCTATGACACTTTTACTGTGAGTGCGTAGAAATTGTAGCATTGTGGATCTGCCAGATAGTATGATAATATCGACTCTGGTGATTTGCAAAAAATAAGCATTTTTGCAGTGGCTGACAAATCTGTCAGTGTGAACAAGCGTAAAGTTAATGTTGTTAATCTTTTTAATTTAAGATTTTCTTGAATATTTTGTACATTTGTGTGGTTTTATTTCCGGTTTTGTGCTAACTATTTCAAAGAGCCATAGGTATCTACCATAAAAATGCTAAATACGTCCTTAAATCGTACATACGAACAAAATAACCCGCAAAAACGGGACCACGGTTACGCAATCTTACCGGAATAGTAAACAACTTACGCCGAAGGGTTGGTGACGTCGTCGAATATCGACGCGCCCGGCCGCCGCTACGTTGCCGCTATCCGCTATTTATCCTGGTTGTTACGTTGTTATTTATGTCTGGTTGCATGGCGTTCATAATAGTTGGTGAAAGAGGATAAACAATACGTTCTAGTTGTTTGGAATAGGCAAAACTGGTCATAGGTATTTTAAAAATATTATTTTTTTTAATGATTGATTTGGAAAATAATAGGCTGCAAAACAAGGACGTTTCTCACAAGTATCCTAACTGAGTTTTCCTCTCAACTTTTAATAAATTAGTAAATTTTCACTTTTAAGGACTGTTGTTTTTTTTTTCTTTTTACTGGAACGTATAAAAACATTTTAAATTTACTTGTATTGCTTCAACACAAAATAAACATGTTTTTGAGAAATTTTGAAATTAAAAAATAAAAACCAAATTTGACTAAACGATGTTTACTTAGCTGTTGAGAAAATTGTCATTTTTGGTATATTACGGCTTTTAATTTATCACTTTTTCAGCGTCAAATACCTATTATTGTGCATATTTTTCTAAACAATAAAAAACAACTCATTTTTTTTGTGATGACTCATCGATTGTATTGGGTAAGCGCGTTTAACCGCGGTGGGACGCAGTGGCACAACGCGGCAACGCCGCGCCACCCAGCCGACGTTTTCCACGTTTCCAAAACGGAGAAAAACGCGTCGCCGGGTGAAATAAGGTCGGCATGGCGTCGTGATGTGTTTCAACGTTGCGGGTCGAGAGTGTTGCTTTAATGCGCGCACAAAAAACAAAATTTACGGCCTAAAGCTCGGTACTCGTGCGGGCTGATAGCTACATATAACAATATAGAGGTAAGGGCTTGGGCGATTCGAAGGTTTTCGAGACAACTGACTTAATTTTATCGGTAAGCGACCACAGGGAGGTTAATAATCGACCATGGATCGGACCAACGACCCCCCGCACGTTTCCCCAGACTCCATGCGCTGAAATTGACCCGTATCGCCGCCGCCGCCACCACCATTCAATCCCTACGTTACTTGGGGCGGTTCGTCGGCCAGGCCGGCGTCACGCTAACCGGTAACATCAACCACCGGCCAGAGTACAACCTCCTCATAGTCGACTACGACCCGTTTGTGATGGACGGTACGGCGGGCGCGACCTCTGTCGGCGCCGAGGTCGACGACGACGCCACCTGGAACTGCAGCGTCCACCCCAGCGTGTTTTTCCTGCTAGGTATGGCAGTTGCCTGGTAACTCAGGGTGGGGTTAGACACTCGAGAGTACGGCACAAGTCAATAAAATTATGTTCAAAGGGGCCTTTAATAATTCGATGAAACAAAGAACAAATATAATAAAAAATATGATGATTATATGATACTCCTATACGAGTGGGAAGCAGTCACCAAATCAAAAAACGGGATTGGCCAGAACCGCTTTACCCTGTCCACATATAGAGCATATTCTATATGCATGTTCTGCATATATTCCATATACAAGCGTTAACAGCGGTTACGCGGCCGAGAGAACTCGATTGGAAAGGTAGCAATGGGTAGAAAAAGACAGCTAGTAATGGGCATTCTTGTCCTTCTCTTTCCCAACTCATTTACATATTATTATTTGAGGATTAAAAAATATTTCATTTAAATATTGGGAAAAAAATTATAACTTCTCAAAAAAGTTTCGAAAAAAAGCGTATACAAATTGATATATTGCAAAATTCAAAATATTTGACTCTTTCTAATGTTAAAAAATAAAATAAAATATATATGTACCTAAAAACAGCACTTTGTATTTCTTTAATAAGGGAAATATTTACATTTTCTTTTATATATTTTGTGACAACTAAATTAACCAGTAATAGTATATTATGCAAAAAGTGCGGTAAACGGCATTTGACACGAGCGGATCGAGTTTTTGGGTATATTTTCGCAACACAACACGAATACATTCACTGACATGACCGTCAGAATTGACAAACGTCAAAATTCAAAGCGTGGGAAATATCTCCGAAAACATCCGATTGCTCCCAAATCCGTGCGGTAAAATCCCGGAAATGTCCGAAGTGGCTCGGATTCGTGGGAAACGAAACTGACGGGGGAAAGTGACGCTTCCCGCACGCTAGATCGGTGGGTATTTAGGTATTTTACAGGCGGGAGTAGAAAAACATATATATAGAGGTCCTGCCCGTATTGATAATATAGGAACTTATGAAGCAACATTAAAAAAAAATTCGTTTTTACATGTTTTATCTATCTCGACGAGTTATTATCCAAAAAAAAATATATATATATATATATATATATATATATATATATATATATATATATATATATATATATATATATATATATATATATATATATATATATATATTTTTTATGCGATTTTATGTAGATTGCTGCAACCATATGAAACAAAAGGATTTACCATATAGAAACATGTTTATTAATTAATACCAGATTGTCACCGTCAAAAACATTCAACACAACCACTTACTTCAAAAAAGGGTAAACTACTAACTAATAGGTAGAAAAAATGATAAAAACATAAAACAATCCCTTACTACACTTACCAGCTATTTCTATTAACGTGTATGACAAAAAATAGAATACCCATTACTACCGTGATCCTCTAAATCACCCAAAAAATCCATGTTGGTTGCTCCACCAGTTTAGATCACATTTTTGTTCGTTTTTAGGGACTTTGGTTTTGACAACTTGCGCGACCGGCATGCTTTGCGCGGCCATCATGACGGACCATTGGGAAGAGGTGACGTGGGACGTGGAGCGTCTCGACGCCTTTGCCAACGGCACTGTTCGGTTGCAGTGGTTGCTCGATAAGAAGGTGGTCAAGGTGACCACGAACGACGCCCAAGAGAGAACGGTGGCGTTTTTCGTGCCGATGCACGGCGGAATATGGACGCTTTGTCTTAGCATAAGCGGTAAGTAGACACTGGAGGTTCATCCGCGTCCTTTAGAGGAAAGCGTTCTGTTGCAGAGGAAGAAATAGTCCTGTTAAACAGGGTCGGATTCCCACCGGTTCAACCGTGCGTCAACTATTTAGCCGGGGGGCCATATACGATCCGAGGGTTCGAGTCCCGGACCGATTGGCAACACAGTAAGTTTTGGCGCCCCGTTTAAGACAACTTCCGCGCCGTATTCTTCCTCCTTTCCCCAGGGATGCAAAACCTATCCATCTCTTGCGCCCTAGTCTGCCTGATAATCCTTGGTAGCGCTGCCCTCGTAGGCGCTTTCGGCGTGTTCCAACATCAGATCAGTGCCGTCCTAGTGACCGGCGTCATGTATTTGCTGGCAGGTAGTCCTCCCCCCAAAGCCGGTATAACCTCATCCGCACCTTCTGATTCGATTTCAGCTTCTTTCGCTCTGTTCACCCTCACCATTATTCACTTCAAGCGGCTCCACATCAAACCCAAATCGGAGGAACATTCTGGGACCATAGACGGGGTCATACTCGCCTACTCGGCTCGGATGGCGGAGAGGAAAATCGTCGAATTATTACCCGCGCGTATTTTCACCACTTCATGGTCACTGGACTTGGGGTGGGGCGGGGTTATGTTGTGCGTCATGACATCCGTACTCTGGATACTCTTGAGCAAAATTATGAGGTTCAATCCGATATCGAGCATGATTAACTGACACAGATGGGTCTGAGTTTTAGTTTTGCAGCCACCCTAAACTGACAGAACGATGGTTGATATTGATTGCACCGCAAACCTCTGGAAGGGTGTTCTGTGGTTTTCGCGTTTTTTCCTTTAACAAAAACGTCTTCCTTCACCTCTGGTGTGGGTAGCCTCATCAAATTTCTTCCGCAGTCTTTTTAAAAAATATTTAAAAAAAGAAACAAACTCGTATATTTTTTTATTGTTATATCAGAACCGCGCGGAATCGCATGCCGCGGACTTATTTCAAAATTATATTCGTGCCTTTAAGAACGCAATACTTATTTACACGCATCAAAATATCTTGACAAGGGCTGATCGATTTCTCCACCTGCATCGGTGACAATCGCTTAGTGTTACGCGCCCGCGCGACTAAAAAAACCCTTTATTCTCAACGGCTATCGCTTAGTCAATATAATTTACAAGTGACCTTAAACGTTTTAATTTAACAATTAGCTATCGATATGACATATTTTCAAAGAGCATATTTTAACAATATATTTAGATAATCGACGGTGTGTGGATACAAGGTAAAGACAAAAAAAAAACGTTTTTGATGCCGTATTTCACAAGCGTATTCGCAATTACTTTCCTTAAGTTTTTCAATTGATATAGGATAATATTTAAAAAAGGTATTAAATTAAACAATCATAACCGAATTTGTCAGTTAAAAATGTGTAATTTTAAGAAATGAAATAACCGTTTTAATTAGGGAGGCATTAAAGTTAAAAGAAGATCAGTAGTTTTGGTTAGTTTTGCCTTAACCTCAAATATTGTTGTCCTTCGCTGCGATTAGATTCCAATCACATTTATCAAATACCGAAACAAACTTATGAAAATTAACTTTCAGAACCGTCCTTACCTCCCGTGCTTAGTGAAATATCCAGGCCTATGACGGAACCCGTTAATAATAATATTTTTGACCAATTTTGTGGAATTTCCATTGAACTACACTGTTTCATCATAGGTCTCGTAAAAAAAATGTAAATAAGGCTTGAACAGAATATTTACGTAAAAATACCTTTTAGTTGACATCTAGGTAATGCAAAAAGAGGGAACAGGAGCTTTGTGCAAGTAAACAACATGCCTTGAAAATAAATACGCGGTCTAAAATTTAAATTAGTCTAATGTTAAAAATGTAACTCCCTAACAATTCGATGTTATGTGAAAATTTAATTTATATAGCAAATAAAAAAAACCGTTACCCTGGCTGTAGTTTTCTCTTGTGTGTTACTCGCTTTGATGTCCCCTGGCAGTCGCACTAACTGGCCAATGCCTAATCCGACTAACGAATAACACCTAAATGTATTAATCTAATTTGGCGAAAATGAAAACGTACAAGAAAATGCGGTTTAACACCTTCGAAAAATTTACTTGGCGGTAGAACAAAAACAGATGTCCACAACCAAAGAATAAAAATATTTGGTTTTGGTCACCATGATTATGTATTTGGGTCTGTATGCCTAACACGCAGAGCCGCATTATGAAATTAAACTTGGGGTGATGCTACTTATTATGTTACAAATCAACACGTTATAAAGCTATTATTAGTAGCCTAGTGGTATTAAAGAACGTACGGGAGTCTCTTATTGAGTTGTGTTTTTGAGGTTAATTTACAAAAATTGAAAAGAAGAAAGTTAGGTTATTCGCGAAAGAACAATTTATGAACAATCAAAAAAATGTTTCTTAAGTCTTGCAGGCACCTGTTCATTTTCAACAAAGACCTTCTGTTTACGAGATTTTGTACACAAGCTGCCAACGAGTTAAAAAATTCAGAATTATGTGTCGAGACGGCACAGTCAAAATTATTAAAAGTGGCAATCCTAGGCCTGCCTAACGCCGGAAAAAGCACATTTATCAATAACCTCATGGACAGAAGGGTTTGTTGTGAGTTCCAGGTGGTTACTGTTGTGTAATTGTATACAATTTCAGGTTTGTCCCACTTCATCCAAAGTTCACACAACTAGGAATAAAACCATGGCTATATTCACCGAGGAGGACTCGCAAATAGTGTTTCTCGACACTCCCGGGCTCGTAAGCGATAGTGAAAGAAAAAGGTGTGAACCAAGGCATAGTTGTTGTATGCATAATAGTAGTTAATTTAATTTTAGGTATAAACTGGAGTCTACTTTTGTTAGAGATTCCAAGGATGTTTTGATGGAGGCTGACATAATAGGTGTAATACATGATGTTTCCAACCATTTTTTGCGTGATAAATTGGACATAAAAATTATTAACTTACTTGAAAGCCATCGAGACATATGTAGTTTTTTAGTTTTTAATAAGGTATGTCCATTTTGGTGTGTATTGAGTAGTTTAATGAACACTTTGCATTTTTAGGTGGATTTACTCAAGTCCAAGAGAAAGTTACTGGATCTGACAAGGTTGTTAACTGAGAATTGCATCAATGGCAAACCCATTGCTGGTACCCAAAAAACCAAGAAATGTGAACATGATTACAGGGGTTGGCCATATTTTCAAGACATTTTCATGGTGTCTGCACTGACAGGAGATGGGATTTCTTCTGTCAAAAACTATCTGGTGAAACAAGCAAAGCCATCAGAATGGATGTTCCCAAAAAATGTATGGACTGATCAGTCTGCTGAAGAAATAATTTCAAAATCAGTTCAGGCAACTTTGCTTGACTACTTACCTCAAGAAATTCCCTATCGTTTAAAAAGTGAAATAGAGTTTTTCGACATTAGCAAAACAGGTACTTTTTTTAAGTTATGAAACAAATAATATTCAGGTTGCAGTTTTGAGTGTAATGGACAACACTGCTTACCTTTTTTCTTTATATTTCAGGCATTATTAGTACAGTTGTATTAATTCATTGTCCATCAGAGAGGGTAAAGACCCTAATAGGTGGTGCTTCAGAGGGTCGACTTAGGCAAATGACAGAGACTGTACAGGATGCTTTACAAAATACTTTTAAGAGCCATGTTAGGATAAAACTAGTCTTGGTACCTCCTAAGAAAGAAGATGCTGAATAAATTTTAATAAATTGTTTTCTTTTCATTGCTTAGACACAAAGTCAGTTTTCAATGTGACTTTATTAAGTAATCGAATTTAAGAAACAAAAACATACAAAATTTCTCAACATTAAACTAATGCAGACTTGAGCTGAAGAATGCAATTTATGCCCTTTTCTTGATTTCTTCATCAATTTCTTCGACCGACACCTTAAGTCTGTTCCACTGCTCAGGGGTGAGCATGATGCCCTTCTTGCCAGGTTTCAAGTCGCCGTCGGCATTGTAGAACTCGCGGATGTTGATGTAAATCTTGCCTTTAAATTCGGAAACCTTGGCAAACCGATTTTTTCCCAAATCCCATGTAGGTTCTTCGTCGTTGGTTCGGAAAGAATTCGAATCCGCTTTCGGCTTCTTTCTCACTGGTTCCCTCTGAAAATATACACCACGAATGAAACTTACAAAAAAAAGGACCTAAACAAACTTAGGTTAGTAGTTGACAACGGTTAAAAACTTACATCGTCTGGGCCGGAATCGGAATCCGACGAAGACTCTTCCTTCTTGTTTTTTTTCGGCATTCTCCCGTAAAGTCAATGCAACGTAAGAAACAAAAATTATCTTCTCACAACGAACAATTAAAGAAATCGATACAGACACAGCCGGCGGTGCTTCGAAAGCGGGAAAACACAACTGTGACCCGAGATCAAGTTTTGGCAGTTGTCGTTCATAAATGCAGAGTTCTTGGAATGGCTGATAAACTTTCTTTCTCATAGAGGTCGCCGGCAAATTAGTGTTTCAAAATATTTCTTTTGGGATAAAACAATGTAACGGTAGATTGTATAATCACTAAAATGATACGCAAAAATGTTCGGCAGCGTCGAAAGCATTAATATTAAAATTGTCTTTGAATGTTTCTGAAAAAATTAGATGACAGGAAATTATTAACGCAGGGAGCGTATGTGAAAACCGAATTTTCTCCAACAAAATTCCGCGTTTATGTAAAACGCCTCCGTCGTAATTATTTTAACCCTGCGTTTATTTTGTATTCGTTAATTTCAGCAAGCTTCGCCCGGTCCTAACCGCGTTACGGACTAATTCGGAACGGTGCTTCGTCATTATTAATGTACGGCGGCCTCTCTGTAGTCGCGAAATTGTAAGTCTACAATGCAGTTAGGCCCGCGTTTCGAATCAATAAACATTATTTTACCGCCCCTGTAATCCTATTATTGCAGCCGCTGCTGTCCGATGATCCGGAAATATGATTACTTTTGTTATTCGTAATACGGTTACTGAATCTGGAATTTTTGTACGTATACGGTCCATAAACGGGCGGATATGGTGCGGGTGGTACGACACCGCAGAGACCACAGATATAAATAACGCCCGATCGAGTCGCCATCAATTCAAGTCGGTACAATTATTTTAAACAGAGTATTTCGCATCAAATGATACCCTTCCTAATTGAGTCTTTCATGCTACGAACGAGCGGTATCGATTGCGCACAAAGGAAAACTATTAAAATGTTGCACTAGCTTCGCTTCCGTTTTCCCTTTACGGGAAATAATTTAGTCCAGAAACGCGCGCCCACTGGCGTATCACGAGATTTTTTCTTGGATACGCGTCTTCCTTTTAAATCGCTTTGCAGAGTTTTTTTTAATATATCGACAAGTACAAGCCACAGACCATAGAACCAGCTGAAAGATATTCGTTAGAGGCAAATACCCGTCAACTTTTTGCCCGAAACTAAAGCGGACTGCCACTGAGCGGATTGTTCCGATCGCACCGAGACGCTCTTTTTCCTACCGACGCGGGAAATTTATCGCGGATCTGTTTATATCAATTACGCGAAATCGAGTGCTTTTTTTTTCGCGTAATCCACGGCTTTGAATATCGGGAAAATTAAGTTTTATCGCCGCTGCGAGGTTCGGTCGGATTTCTGCGGATTACCGCGAAACTACGTAAAAAGCTTCCGTCGCGTCCGACTCGGTTGTAACTAAAACACGGCGTTACTGTGACCGCGTAGGGGGATTTTTTGCGTAAACAATTAGGTATATTGTAAAAGGGTGGTTTTATGTCGCCTAAGCCAGGCTTTGTGGTCCGTGACAAAAGTCAGACAACAAATCACGGACTTCACAGAATGCAGTATTACAAAGATGGCACTTGACGCGATGAACGAAATAAATATAAATAATACGACATGGCTCAAATAACGCAACGACATACTACGTATTCGGTTACTTCTTGCCGTTTTCGGTAATTTCGCTTCTATATCTGTGAGTGATTCGTGTCCGAGGCTGCGAGCCCATCAATTATGAACGACGTTTGCTTTGCGCCAATTTAAAAAACAACGAAAGAAAAAAAGCGCGCGAGAAAAAAAAAAGGGGGACCCGGAATTCGTAAAAACTCGCGCGCTCTCCTCCACGAGGAAAGCTCTCTCGTCAGATCAGGGATCATAACTCGCTTCGTCTCTCGCGTTTCGAGTGTGTCATATATAATACAGGTTGGGTCCGGTAAAATCGATGGCGGAGCGCAGGCGGCCCGCCTCCGCGCTCGACAGACGACCGCCCGGAGCCGTACAGTCCGCTTCGGTCCTTATTCCGGTGTGGAGGTTTGTTATTCCGGGTCCGCGCGCTGATCCTGCCTAGAAGTGCGCGGTTACGTCAGAGCTATGACGTGACGCGATTGACGTTTCACAGTCAGTTGTTTCGGCGCGTGCTGCCGCGATCGTATCGAAGCTGTGACCCCGATTAGTTGTCGGGTGGTATAGGTTAAGATTTCCTGAACCGTGTCCACGCTTTTCCTCGCCAGAGATCAGGTACCGATCAGCGCAGGTTTTGGTTAATTTTTGTTTTGGTTTTATAAATATTCTACTTATAACGACACAGTGGTGGGTGTTTTGATAGGGTTGCTTTAATGCTGGAAAATATGTATATGTCAAGCAATTTCTGAGCCTAAAACGTCATACAATAAAAATTTATTATTAATATTTTATTGAAAGTTCATCGTGTTTAAAGAAAGCAATAAAATTTCCTGGAAAATCTAAGGTCAGGGAATTTATAATTATAAGTGTCAGTGGGTTTTAAATAATACATATTTATTGTTAATGGTTTATTGGTACTTGAAATTTTGTCGCCTGGAAACAAAGCAACACATACTCGTGGAAAAACTGAAAACGTCAGAGAATTTTTCTTGAACTGGTTGTACCAAAGTGTTTTAAATATATTTATTTATTTATTATATTTTAATTAGTTTTGGTTGTTTTTATTTAACCTAAGATTTTGCAAATATTGGTTGTTGGTATGGCGAATTGTGTTGTTTGCTTCAACTAAAGCGTAAAAAAAACACAGGGCCAGATAAGTAAATACATCTAAAAGAGCTTTCAAATTCAAATTATATACGATAAAAAAAAGCAAACTGTCAACCTAACTATAAGGAATTGACAGAAATAATGCGCAACAGGGTGCTTCATTTTTAGGCGATTTTTTTCTTCTCCGTGCTACCTGAAAATCTGATACTTTATAGAAAATAAAAAATTATGCCACTGGCTAAAAGGCTTTAAGTGCAATAGCGGCTTAGCTCATTTAAAAATTCATTTTCCTATTTAAATAACACAGAAAAAAATGTTTTTTCGGTTTTCACTTGATTTTTCGACGTGAAGAAATTTTTTTTGGGAAAATAGTTTTTGTAGCGCATAAACTTTGCTACAAAACGTTCCTATGCGTACATTCTCCCCGACCAACAGCTTGTAAGTTATAGAGCTGTGAAAATAAATATTCATTATAATTGATATCAAATTTTTAAATTAGGATTCATTTTTTTTACATTAAATAGCAATGAATTTTAAACAAAAGAACGCTTTATTTGAGTTACTATATGATTCAAGTTTCTAATTTCCAAAATTATTTTGGAATCAAATAGAAAAAAATAAAATTAAAAATTAAAAAAATATATTAATTGTAATTAAATAATAATTATAGACATTTAGGAACTATTCATGTTTGTAATCCAGTAAGTACTCTAAAATTTATTGAACGAATATAAATTTTAATTAATAAATAATGATAGTGTGTAAGTGTAATAATGATAGTGTAGAAGTGTAATTTGTTATGTTATTTTGGAGGTTCTATTGAGTCAATAAAAACTCCAAAATAACATACAAAATTACACTTCTACCTATCATTATTTATTAATTAAAATTTATATTCGTTCACTAAATTTTAGAGTGGTCACTCGATTACAAACATGAATGGCTTCTAAATGTCTATAATTAATTATTATTTAATTATAATTAATATTTTTTTAATAATTGAATTTTAATTTTCTCTATTTGATTCCAAAATAATTTTGGAAATTAGAAACTTGAATATAATTAATTGCTATTTAATGTAAAAATAATAAATCCTAATTTATAAATGATTTCATATCAATTATAATGAACATTTATTTTCACAGCTCTATAACTTAAAAGCTGTTGGTCGGGGAGAATGTATCAGATTTTGAGGTAGCACAGAGAAAAAAAAAATATCGCCTAAAAATGAAACACCCTAATACGCAATAAGTTATCAAAAAATAAAACGCGACTGGCTGAGTTGCAGAAAACAATATTTTGGTGTTAAAATGTTACCCTATTTTGAATGTACGAAATCCTGAATTTTTGACAAAACTCCGCAACATCCTTGGGGTGAGGTGAATGTTTCGACCTGCAAGGACCGATCTCCTATCGTATCACACTGAATTTTGTAAAATGAATCCAGAATATTGAATGCCGAATAGTTATATGAATATAATGCACCCAATTACAGTCCTTCTGGAAAACCGAAGAGACCTGATCACTCCGAACATTATACCCATAAGTAAATGAAATGAATGAATAAACTATGAAATATAAAAAAATAAAATAAAATTTGAAGTGTTGTCGTAACATCATGTACCGCGTGTGTACGCGCTCGGGGCAACTTTAAAATCGGGACTTCGTCCCACGGGCATGGAATGATACACCGCGCTATTAGCTGCGGAGCATGGCGCACCAGAAGAATGTAATAAGTCCATACAAAATGACGGCGCACAACCTCGCATTCCACTTTATTGTTGAGGTAGAATTTATTTCCGTCGTATATATCATCCGGCGCTAGATTCCCATAACCGAGCACTCGGTTTATATGCGCTGGTTGGCATTTATAACGTTCCGAGTTTATACTGCGTGGAGGGGGTGGGTCTTGGAGAAATTTCGGGTACATGTACATCCCGCGCTGTGTCTTTGTACAACGTTCTGAATAAAAAATAATAACTGCCATGGCCTGACCCCCGGCCCGGGAATGGGCGGGTGGCCTTAAATGATTAGCCTACCTAAAATGCGGAGAAGAAGAACTTCATCCATACATGCAAGTTGTTGCTAAGACAAGGAGCAACGTCTTAGATGGTTATTAGGTCGGGCGGCGAACAAGGTATGCGGTTCAAAATTAATCTTCAGAGATTCATATTTTACAACACACTGGATGGAATTTTATAATGTATCTTTTCCAAATATCGCTTAAAGATGTCGGTAATTTCTAGCACATTACACTATAAACAATCCATTAGTGTTTATTGAATCATAAGAAAACTATGAAATAAGAGTATGGGAGACATTAAATTAAAAGAATAAGAGGCAGTAAACACATACCAAGTACAATAATGCGTTTCACAATAACTCTTGGGCTCGACTGCTAGGATCATTTGCCCATTGCCGACTTCCGTCGAGGATTTTCGCTTTTGGTCAATGACCAACACGTGCAAAGAAGAAATATAACCAATATTTGGTCAGCTAGCAAAAAATAATTTTGACCGATACCAAAAAAATCGGTCCACACAGTGGAAACTGATATCAAACTTTTGCGGACGAATACAAGGGATTCTGTCGGGAGCGAACGGAGGTTAAACCGCCGCGTGCAATGCTCCACCACAGAATTCCAGTAAACACATAAGATTCTTCTTCTTCTTTACTTTTATTGGGCACGAAACAAATAAGATGATCTATGGACATACTTGACCCAAGAGCCAGGATTTTTGGTTAGTTTAAAACTGTTAAACGAATAAAATTAAACTATTTCGTATTACTTATTAACAAATATAAAAGTTAATGTAATCTTAATGAATCGTAGGAGAGGAGAGTACACTTGTACCGTACTTGTGAAGAAATGCGGTTTAATTTTATTATTTTTCGGGGTGATCTACATTCTAAAGGGCGAATTATTATCTAGTAAAGTGAAAGCAGAGACGAGCCGTAAAGATCCAATAATCCAACGCGAATTATTTTTTTTTGGTTTGGATTTATGAGATAGTCAACGTTCTCGCTAACAATTAATCGGGAATCCTTGGTAGTGTCAGTAGACAAAATAATAAGATTTCTTAATCAGTTTTTTTCATATTTGAACTTAGTCCCGAAATCCTATTTCCACTAATACTGAAACAAATAATTTTTTGTGGTTTGAATTAGCAATTAACATTCTTCGTGCTAAAAACTAATGAAACGTTTGAACGTGAGTTTGCTCAATTTGGCAACCCGGCATCGTGGCAAAACTTATTGCCTAGATCATCGCTGTCATTCATCCCTCCGAAAGATGCTGCGGCACGACAAGCATTTTAATTTGTGTGTAATTTTATTTGTAATGACACTTTTGCATGGAGATAGCATACCATTATTTTTAAGTATAGAGAGCAGTTTTTGCGAGACTTTACTACTTTTTTATGAAACTTAAGATGCCTGCAATGAAATTTTCCTAGTTTTCAAGATATCGAATCGAAATCTTAGTTGACTTTTAATAATGTTCAAAAGGTGACCATTGTTTTAGGATTATTATTAAAAATAACGACATCAATAATATTTTTCTACAATTAAATACATTTTTATACAGGGTGGTCCGGAATGAATAATAATGATACTGAGCCAAATTTGCTTTAGCAAAATGTGTCTCATTGATGAGATAGAGGGTGTTAAAGTTTAGTTCTCCAAATTGGTATTTTTGGCTATGGAAGTGGCGAATACGATTATATTCTATTTTTCACACAAAATATGCACGATTCTAGTTATACTCTATGATTTCCCAGTCTTACATTCACATCCTGTTATTTTCAACCACTTCAACACCCTAAAAAAACAAATGCAAAAACCATAAACGATCACTTCCATCAACAGATAAATTCTACTTCGTTAAAGGTATTAATAGGCCGACCGCAAAGTCGAAGAAGATACGAGTTTCATCTTTTATCTTTATCTCATTAACCGTCGGGAAGGGGGCGGACGTCGTGATCGGCGTGGACTTCCGATCGAGCGTCCGTTCTCTTTATTATCCAATAAAGAGCTCTTTGTCGTCGTCTTCTTTCGCGGAGAATAACATGGCGGCCGTCGTCGCGACGCGCGACCGAGATAATTCATCCCCTTATCGATTGCGCTGCGTTCATCTTTGGCACGCGTGTATTTTTGGTTGCCGTCTGATTTCTCGATTTCTCGAGATTTATGACTTACAGCCCAAGCACAGGGTGTCTTGTATTGCTGGTTGGAACATGTATTCCAATTTTCGCGAGAGCAAGAGCGGACATATTAGGTACACTTGTAGGTTTCTATGTTTACGACGGACTTCGAGAACATTCACATTTAAGGTGGCTTCCAGGTCCTCGTAATTATAATCCTGGACATTCAATGTGTATGCGACGTACCTCAACTTGTGTTGAAATCTTTCAATATTTCAAGTACACACATTATAGTAGGGTGACCAAAACCAAGACCCGTATCCAAGATGAGGGCGAACAATTGCATAGTGGATAGTGAATAAGACC